CAAATGAAAGTCTGTATATGGTGTGATTTACATATGAACTGCTGTAGATGTTGTGATGTACAAATGAATGGGAGTAGATGGTGATATACAAATGAATGGCAGAAGATGGTGTGATGTACAAATGAATTACTGGATGGTGTGATGTACATTGTACAAATAAATGACTGGATGATGTGATGTACAAATGAATGGCTTTAGATGTGTTATACAAATGAATGGATGTGAAGGTGTGTTGTACAAATGAATGGCTGTGGATGGTGTTATGTACAAATGAATTGCTGTGGATGGTGTTTTGTACAAATGAATGGCTGTGGATGGTGTTTTGTACAAATAAATGGCTGTGGAAGGTGTGATGTATAATTGGTTGATTGTAGATGGTATGATGTATAAATGAATGACTGTAGATTGAGTGATAAACATATGAATAATTGTAGATGGTGTGATATACTATTGAATGGCTGTGGATGGTATGATGTAATGTTGCGAAGTTACAAATGAATGACTGTGGATGGCATGATGTAAAAATGAATGACTGTAGATGGTGTGATGTACAAATGGATGTCTGTGGATGGTGTGGTGTACAAATGAATGGCTTCAGATGTGCTATATACAAATGAATGGCTGTGGATGGTGTGATGTACAAATGGATGATGGTGGATGGTGTTATGTACAAATGAATGACCATAGATGGTGTGATGTAGAAATGAATGACTGTAGATAGTGTGGTGTAAAAATGAATGACTGTAGATGGTGTGATGTACATATGAACAGCTGTTGATGGTGTGATGTACATATGAACTACTGTAGTTGGTGTGATGTACAAATGAATGAGAATAGATGGTGATGTACAAATGAATGGCAGTAGATGGTGTGATGTACTTATGAATTACTGGATGGCGTGATGTACATTGTACAAATGAATGACTGGATGGTGTGATGTACATTGTACAAATGAATGACTGGATGGTGTGATGTTGAAATGAATGACTGTGGATGGTGTGATGAAGAAATGAATGGCTTAAGATGTGTGTTGTACAAATGAATGGGTGTGGATAATGTTATGTACACATGAATAGCTGTTTATGGTGTTTTGTACAAATGAATGGCTGTGGATAGTATGATGCACAAATGTGGTTGATTTAGATGGTATAATGTACAAATGAATGACTGTGGATGGTGTTATGTACAAATGAATGGCTGTGGATAGTATGATGCACAAATGTGGTTGATTGTAGATGGTATGATGTACAAATGAATGACTGTGGATGGTGTTATGTACAAATGAATGGCTGTAGATGGTTTGAGGTACAAATGAATGATTTTAGATGGTGTGATGTCCAAATGAACAGCTGTAGATGGTGTGATGTACATATGAACGGCTGTAGATGGAGTGATGTACATATGAAAGGCTGTAGATGGTGTGATGTACATATGAATGGCAGTAGATGGTGTGATGTACATATGAATGACTCGATGGTGTGCTGTAGAAATGAATTACAGGATGGTGTGATGTAGAAATAAATGGCTTTAGATGTGTGATGTACAAATGAATGGCTGTGGATGGTGTTTTGTACAAATGAATGGTTGTGGATGGTATGATGTACAAATGAATGTCTGTATATGGTGTGATTTACATATGAATGGCTGTAGATGGTGTGATGTACATATGAACTGCTGTAGATGGTGTGAGCCAAGGCTCTGTGTTGAAGACTGTACTTTAACCTATAATGGTTAACTTTTATAAATTTTGACTTGGATGGAGAGTTGTCTCATTGGCACTCATACCACATCTTCCTACATCTATAATGTACAAATGAATGGGAGTAGATGGTGATGTACAAATGAATGGCAGAAGATGATGTGATGTACAAATGAATTACTGGATGGTGTGATGTACATTGTACAAATAAATGACTGGATGATGTGATGTACAAATGAATAGCTTTAGCTGTGTGTTATACAAATGAATGGATGTGAAGGTGTTTTGTACAAATGAATGGCTGTGGATGGTGTTTTGTAAAAATGAATGGCTGTGGAAGGTGTGATGTATAAATGGTTGATTGTAGATGGTATGATGTATAAATGAATGACTGTAGATTGTGTGATGTACATATGAATAATTGTAGATGGTGTGATATACAAATGAATGGCTGTGGATGGTATGATGTAATGGTGCGAAATTACAAATGCATGACTGTGGATGGCATGATGTAAAAAAGAATGACTGTAGATGGTGTGATTTACAAATGGATGTCTGTGGATGGTGTTGTGTACAAATGAATGGCTTCAGATGTGTGATATACAAATGAATGGCTGTGGATGGTGTGATGTACAAATGGATGATGGTGGATGGTGTTATGTACAAATGAATGGCTTCAGATGTGTGATATACAAATGAATGGGTTTGATTGAGGAGATATGTGGATGTGCATGGTATGATGGGTGAATGCAGATGCTGTGAAGTGTGGCTATAAATGGTAGGATTGGTAGATGTTGGTCATCATAATGTTTGGGTTTGTGTGGATGTGGATGATATGTGTTGATGTGAATGGTTTGTGTGGATGTGGATGATATGTGTTGATGTGGATGGTATGTGTTGATGTGAATAGTTTGTGTCGATGTGGAAGGAGTGTGTATGTGAATGGTTTGTGGATGTGGATGGTTTGATGAATGGCTATTTATGGTGTGATATATGACTATAAATGATGTGATGTATGCGATAAATGGTGTGATGTATGGCTATAAACTGTGTTATGTGTGGGTATAAATATGTGGATGGTGTGATATGACTATAAATGATGTGATGTACCCAATAAATGGTGTGATGTATGGCTATACACCGTGTTATGTGTGGGTATGAATGTGCGGATGTGGATGGTCTGATATATGGCTATTAATGTGAAAGTGTGATGTATGACGGAATGGTACAATGTGTGGCTTGGATTGTGTGACAAAAATGAATAAGCTGATGGATGATGTGACTTAGTGGCCAAATCAATATATCTATGAATGAAAGTTAAACAGAAGTTTAAATAAGAAATATAAAATATCCCTGTGTTTCAAATTTTAAAAACATTTACATTAAAATACATCCTTCTAAAGGTGTAATAATCAGTATAATATATGTAGGACTCAAATCTATGGCGGGTTCCAAATCTATGGCAGATTCCTAATCTATGGCAAATGTGATGTAACAAACGTCAAACAAATCAAATCTTTAAATTACGTCACAATAGAATAACGCAATATTACATCGTCGCCCCGCAAACGTTGGCGGAACTCATAGATTTGAACACGATTCCAGATGAAGGTATTTCCCTCGACAACAATTTGCGGATGGTTTAAAGGAAGATATGACCTATTATCGGGAAGTGGGACAAAATGTGCTGTACCGGCCGAAACCCGCGATGAACAAGGACACAGCTTTTTTCAGTACCGCATATTTTAGAAAAGGAGTTATAGTAAATATTTTATAAAGTGAAAGATAAAATTACCGGATACCAATTTGATTTAAATCGTCATCAAATAAAAATGATATTAACGATGAAGTAAATATTATTTGAAAATTCAAACTGTTCATTTTTATTTATCATTTTTGTTTTATAAAAAGAAACTATCCCCTTTTTTTGTTTATAAGGAGCTTACTAGTTGGTTTAATGAATGGGTTAAATAGGTAACATGCACAGATTAAAAAATGTTTATTTTTACGGTGCACATCATTTCAATCTTGAAGTCTGTATTAAGGTATATGATTTCATCATTTACGAATTTGATTGGTTGCCAACACGATTTGGTTGACCATTATGAAATGTTTATTTCACAAATATTTATATACATGCTCCCGTCGTACATGTCCACTTGCTTAAGACAAGTCATTGGTCATATATGTACTGCATTGTTTTCCATTTGCTCAAAATTTGCCATAGATTTGAAAACAACAAAAAACCTGCCATAGATTAGGAAATTACAAAACTTGCCATAGATTAGGAAATTACAAAACTTGCCATAGATTAGGAAATTACAAAACTTGCCATAGATTAGGAAATTACAAAACTTGCCATAGATTAGGATTGTAAAACAATCTGCCATAGATTTGGGATGGCATGACGTCACATTTACAATAGATTAGGAATCTGCCATAGATTTGGAACCCACCATAGATTTGAGTCCTACATATATAAACAGATTCATAGTTCTAAATTTAAAATAAAGTGAAATCGGAGCAATTTGTTTGTTAACCAAAGCTTTAAAATTAGAATTATAACCTAAAGTTATACAAGTAGATAGGCTTACCTGTTAATTACATAACTGTTTTAAAGGTCTTGCATTTAAAACTGTTCTATCAAAACTACATGGCCCCCAGAAAAGGCATAAACAGATTCATAGTTAAAATAGTGAACAATATTGATGAAAACTGGCTAACAAAAGGAACCATGAAATTGACTTTCATTACAATTTGTTTGAAATGTAAATACTTTTCAAGCATGAGTGACAAATTTTCAAAGTACCACACCTGGATGAATTACTCAATAAAATATCCCTGTGTTACAAATTTTAAAAACATTTACATTAAAATACATCCTTCTAAAGGTGTAATAATCAGTATAATATAATCACTAACAATAAATGTATTTTATCTTTAACAAACTGCTGACAACAATTAAATACTAATAAAACTTAAATAACCATAAAATTTCATTTAAATGGAGATAAAGGTGTGTTAAAGCAATGATCTATAATGAGTGTGAAAAAAAATTGCTTATATTTGAATATCAGAATAAGTGTTAAATTCTAGGTCAGGTTATAAAAATGAAGACAAATACATATTTCAAGAGGCTAAAGTAAAAGTTTCCCAAAATATAATAGTTACCTTACATTATTTTTCCATCTTACTTGGTATAAACTTTCAGAAAAAAAAGAATAATTTATCTAAAATGTAATTAGGAACAGTATAGTGTGTGTAAGGGCTGTTCCAAAATTTATCGAGTTGGGAGATTGAAGGCACAAATTTTAATTAAATATGGGTGGTTTGCATTTTCTTTAGAACTTTGCAAGAATTATAAGTAAAATTTAACAGGGCCTTCCATGCCCACCATGCATTTAATTCTGGAACAGCCCTTACCATTTCAATGCCAATTATCTAAAACAATCATAATTATATTATTTATCATGGGTTATTCCATTAAAATTAATGCAGGAAAAAATGAGGAAGTTGGGAAGGATATGTATGTTACGTATGCAAAACTAATCAAATGACAAAGAAAGTATGTTGTTTTATTTCAGAAAATGAACTTATAAAATAGGGTTCTTAAAACTACTTACTGTCCTTTACAATTATAGTCGTTAAAAAATGATTAAGTCTTAACATTACTTCAAAATAATTTGAGTTTCCATAAAAATTAATAGAGAGACAAAATTTAAAGACAGTAGACCTGTAAAAATCATACATGTACTGTAAATTCAGAAATTCATTAGGGCTATTCTATTAAAATGTATGTGGGAGGGTATGAAGGGACTTTCAAAATATCCCTAAACCAAGAACCTTTTTTTAGATAATTTTGCATAATGGTATTAGACGCATACTAAAAAAAAGACCCATGACCCACATTCAATAATTAAACTTCCCTTCCTACCCTCCTCCCACATACATTTTAATGGAATAGCCCTTATTACTATTGTTAAACAATGGACAAAAATAAGAAATTAACTATTGCAGACAATGTTGCATACAAATATTGCTAACAAACTTTTAAATGAGAGATTTTATTTTTTCTCCAACATATCCGGCCACAATTTTTATAATAATAAAATCATCGAAAAATGTTCTGAATTTACAGTAGAAAGAAAATCTAGGAGGTTTTAACTACTTGAAATAATTTTAAATTCTTACTCTCAACCACATGATGGAGACTAAAAACAATTTACTTACAAATATCTGTAATCATGGTATATAGACACTGACATGTATGTTTGTATAAATGTAGATAACTGGTTCTTACACATCAACACTATGTAGATACATCTATTTATCTGTACGTTTACATAAAATTTACTTTCCCCGATGATCCTTAATGCTATGACAGGTTTACTTCTTTGAAAATGTCTTTCTCCAATTCTTCCATCGATGGTAAAGATTGAATTTTGGAGAAAATTTCTTCTTTACATTGATTAAACTTTGGGTACAACTTAGATATATCATCATTAGCTTCTATCACCTGTAAAGAGAGATTTGAAATGGTTTTTTCTACTATACTATTTTAATGAACGATTTTTGATTGATGTCCAAAGCTTAAAATTTTTGAAAATAGCCAAGTGCTGAAAGTGGCATTAAACACCAAACAATCAAAGTTTTGCGCAATGACCTAAGATGTATTAGCTGATATCGTTTTGGTCAGAAGATTCGTTACGTTAACTCATCAAGATTAATAAATGGAGAATGTGTCCATGGGACACAGATGATGCCCCCGCTTACATATAATGTTATAAAAGAATATAACTCTAGAACTATTAAAGTGAAAACGAAAAAGAAAAATTCAGCAATTTTTTCATTTGTAGAGAGGCATAACTCTTGAACAGTAAAAGTGATGCCACACAAATTCAATGTTGATCTTTGTTTTGTGGTAATAAGCATTGTGTATAAGTTTCATAAAATTTGGTTGAGGCAAACTTAAGGGAATTGAAACTAATTTTTGGATGTAAGGAAGGACGTACAGACGGACAAGGGTAACACTTAATGCCCCCTCCGCCGCAATGCGGACATAATAAAAAAAGCCAATAGTGTGAAAACAAATTATAGAATTTTCCAGATTTATGTAAGTAGTTTTTTTTTTTGTTAACAGATTGCTGTCACATTAAGATTGACTGTACACATACCATACTTTTATCAAAAAGGATCTCTTCCTATATAAAGGTGCACCCAATGTGCCCTAGTATAGTCACCTTCTTGAAATGTCAAATATATCAATTGGGTGCAATTTCACGGAGGCAGTCTAACAATGGGTAGAAATGTATATGCCAATAGGCCATAAATAGATATAAGATAAATGTTCATTTTCTGTTAAGGTGTGTGTAAAAGCTGTGTCCGAACCTTTTATCTAATAACATGAATGACCCCACATGGTTAACACCTTTATACTTACAATTACTGGAGCAGGAAGTTCAAACTGTTTCTGATGCATCAACCAATCTTCATGTAGGTCATGCAAAGACTGTAAATATTCCTATAAGTATAATTCATACGTAAATATTCCTATAAGTATAATTCATACAAGTTGTATTATAATATTCATGGGTTGTTGCATCTTTTGCATGTTTTTGATCTTATACTACAAATAAAAGCTGATTTGGGATACAAGATAATGAGACAGCAACCCATCTAAACAAATAACTGATAGAGGGCAACATATAGTCTCCATCAGTAGACATGTGTTTGTGACATATACGTATATGTGAGATAAAGTCTGTACCTCACAGCTAAGATCTAAAATTGTTGTCTGTCCTGAATTTAATTTGTGGAACTGCAAGAGGACAATTCTATTGTCAGTTTTCAACTTAAGAAAAAAAAGACTTAAACTTAAAACTTTATTTATAATAAATCAAGTTCATTTCTTTTTTATATTTCAAAGCTAAAACTTTTTATAATCTTAATTGTATTGAAAAACATTTTAAAATTCTTCACTGATATTTTCTTCAACAACCCTACAAAATCAGTCTTACAATTGGCACGTCTTTTTCTTCATGTCTGTTTCTCTTCCTGATCCTCTCTTGACAAATGTGTGGATCTGCTCTAAGGTAAACTGTTAACACAAGACAACAATAAAGTATTATATGAAATAACTATGTATGAGTTTAGCAACAGAGATTTATGGGAATCATCTTTAATAGATAGATGAGGGTCTGGATGTAACACAAGACAACAACAAAGTATTATATGAAAAAACTATGTATGAGTTTAGCAACATAGATTTATGGGAATCATCTTTAATAGATAGATGAGGGTCTGGATGGGGTCCTTCCTTTCTTTATTCTTTTTATAATTTTTTTGACCATTTTTCTATTTCGATTTAGAAACTTTTCATGTTTTCAAAGATGAACAGTTATTCACACAGCTCAAAAGAACATCTGTCTTTTAAAGTACAAAAAAAGAAATTTAAAAAGAATAACATTTGGTTAAGGAAAACTAAAGTTAGAGAAAGGAAACTAATTTTGGGACATATGGACAAGGGTAACACTTAATGTCCCCTCCGGTGCAGGGGGGTCATAAAAATCTGCATTCAAATGACAAAATTTCAAAGGTAAATATTACTTTTGCTACCATCAGACCATTATTTAGATAAAACTTACCAATGAGATCCATATTTGTATCCTCATGGTTTAAAATCCATTTGTAAAATTCTGATAAAATACAGTAATCTACTTCTGCCATCAGATCTCTAAAAAAAAGAATACACTGTTTTCAATACATTACTATTTATTACGTATAGTTTTAGTAAGCTTAAAGAAAAAAAGAAATATTTGTAATTCTCAAATGTATGATTACTTCAACAAGTGCTTTCACATAAATACATGAAACATATTTTTGTGTTTTCAATGTGCTTGATATTAATGAAATTTGATGAGTTATCTGTATGGCTATGAGCTAAGGAAACTGTATTCTTATAAAAAACAACATTTTCATCATCTTATCGAGATATTGGCTGCATATTTAATATAAATTATTGATATTAATCAAATTACAACAAAAATGTATATAGACATAAGAGTTTATTTGCAGACTTCATCGAACTTGTAACGTTTTGATAGTCAATCTACATAAATGAGCAGATGTAAGTTAACAAATTTATTACATTGGTTGCAATGAAGTACCGTGATTTCCCAGTGAAATAAAAACCGGTCATTTCACTTGAGAAATAAACTGGATTATTTAACTCTTCTGACGTCATACAACAATAGGTGTTGTCAAGATGTTGCATCAAAGCAAATTGTGATAGAGTAGAAACAGATATAGTTCCTTGCATTTTCTACTTTATTTCCATTAAAAAGCCTGTTGTCAATGTTATAAAAAGAATAACCGATCAAAGAATTCAAATTTCGTGACGGAACAACAGAGATAATTAACTCATGTGCTACGCACATTCCTGAATTAATGTGTTGTTAGGTCACTGATTAATATTTTTCTATATTTGAATTCTCTGATTAGTTATTCTTTAATTAATTAGATATGCATTGTTATTCCAAATATCACAGACTAATCAAAAGACCATTAGTGATTTATTTTCAAATTTGTCATATCACAAACTTGATATTGTTCCCTCCTCTGGAAAAGCTTAATCTTTATCTCGATTTCAATGATGTTTGTTGCAGGTCTGACAAAAATATTGCTGATATGGAGTAACAATTGCATGAAAGGGTTTACATTTGACCACTTTTGCCCAGACTGCAGCCATAAGAAATTAAGTCGCAAATTTTAAATTTAACAAAAAATAAACTAGAGGTACTGCATGCATTTTTAGCTCACAAAAAGTTCATTGCAAGTGTGTGTGTGGTGGGGGGGACTTACTGTCTCCTGAGATTCTCTACAAAACAGTATCTGGCACTAAATATACTTCTTTCCATCATCTTTATAGACTTGTGCTGAAAAATAAAGAAAGACTGGTCTCTGAGGGTTCAGTGGAGATTTGTTAAACGATACAGTAAATATGGTTCTTCAACTAAACCAGAAATATTAACCTAAAAAGAAGATAATCTTCAAAATGTCCTCTGTCTCAGTCAAAAAATTCAAATCAACACTTTTATATCTGTCAGATCATTATCAAGGGAGTCTTTTTTTCTTTCATTTAGAGTGATTACTTCTGAACAACACATATAAATTCCACAGATGGCACTAATCAATTGTATAGAAGAGTAAAAGTACCAGATACCACTTCTTACTAATAGGCCTGTGTATCATATTACATTTTCTCACGAAGAATACCTTTCCCAGAAGGACAGCTCATTTAAGAGTAGTTATTATTTCAGTTTTTACCTTATCTTTTACATCTTTTCTGTGTCCCTCTGCCATTGTAAGCTGTACATAGGACTGGAAAGCCAGACTCCATCTGCTGGCATCTTTATACATCATTTCCTGCAGAAAATAATCAACTAATATATGATGGATGTAAATTTGAGATAAAAAGTTCGATTAAAGAATGAAGATTAGCTGTGAAACCTTTTAGCTTAGTTTCCTATAATAAATTGTAATTTCTTAAAATTCTTTGACAAAGAAATCAATATTTGCTGTACAGAAAAACTATGAAGATGGGTAAAGTTGCATGACTATACTGTCTATAGAACATTATATTTACTGGTAACTGGAACATTCTTTTAAAAGAGAATAATGGTTATCAACATATTGCAACAACATATTTTTTTACAGAGTTATAAAACAACAATACTTAAATATTAAATCATCTTTGAAATACAAAGATTATGTATCAGAATGTTTTAATATTGCTAGAGGGGTTAAACAAGGAGACACCCTGAGCCCCACTTTATTTAATGTCTTCATAAATGATATTGTAAAAAATTTTGAGGGAAATGATTCAAGTCCCCTTAAGCTTATAAATAGTAAGGTGGGATACCTCCTTTTTGCAGATGATCTTTTGATCCTGTCAGAATCGAAAGAGGGTCTTCAAAACAGTTTAAATTATATTGCAACAAATGGCAACTCTCTTAAAATACAAGCAAAACAAAATCCATGATTTTCAGTCAGTCCAAACAAAATGGTGAAACATCACATATTTACTATGAGAATGAAGCCATAGAGAGCGTATCAGAATATTCATTTTTGGGAATGTTGATAAAATGTAATGGAATTCAATAAACAATACAGGCAGTCCACTTGCCCTTACTGAATAAATGTCTGAACTCTATAAAATAGTGCAGTATTCAAATTCAACCACAAGTCATAAGTGAAATACTTGTAAAAATTAACATTTAACATTTAGACAATTAGAAATCTCTCAGCCTATGTTTTTTTTTTGTTATTTATTGGCTGTCTTTTATGCAAGACAGCATATCTCAAAACATTTGAAAGTTTATATTTAGCAGAAGTCTATCAGGGTTGAGGCCAATTTGTTCTAAATTTATAACAGTAATTCCATACTTTATAAATAAGGTGTGATGGAAATTTTGAAGATATTAGACAATACTTGCATTTTACAGCTATGGCAGCTATGTTGGTTGTTAGTGGGATCATCAGACACGTCTTTTAAACAAAATATTCTTAAGTTGATTGTGGCTAAATTTTGTTTCAGTTGGCTGAGGAGCTGCAGAGGAGATTATTTAGAGGTAATCAGATAGCAACAGATGTTAATTGACGATTATAGCTCAAATTGGCCAGGTGAGCTCAGTTAGGGATGATTAGAACAAAGCCAAACAACAGTGAAAGTCAACTCCTTAACCATTAGCCAGCAAACAGTTATTATTGTGAAACCTTCATTTCAAATCACCAATAGAATACATACCAAAGTATTAAAGCCATTAACATCCTTCCATTTACTGACAGGTTCTGGTATCAACTACAAATACATACAAATGTTTATTATATAGCTTCCATATTGAGGAAAGGACAAAACTATTAATCAATGCGATTTCATGAAAATCTGCATACAGATATATATATCAGTTATGAGAATGTGAGTTCTTATTATTGTCATACTTAACCAGTTGCATTATTCACATTAATAAAAACCTCACAATAATTTCTGAATTTACAGTACTAAATTATGGATATAATTACCTTAAGGAAGTGAAAAATGTTATTCTAAAACCATAGCAAGAAGTGTTTTACAACAGTTATATGTCATTTAATCTAACTATATATTCTGTTCTCTAAATAAGTCTCAAGACATTAGTACAAAATTGTGTTTAGTTATATCTCCAGACCCCAATCAAATAGAAATAGGTTCCTCAAGTACCAGCAGTTTTTACTCATGCTAAGCCTCATTGCAGTAAAATAAAACAACAATTAAATTGTATCTGTCCTTTTTCATATGCATGTAAACAGTTCTAGATACATGTAGGGAAAAGTTCAATAATAAAATGTTTTAAAGCTGAAGCTGACTTAGTTCTACCATATCTAAGTGTTGCAAGATTACAAATTTCACATTTATATTCATTTACTGATTTTCATACTTTCCATCAAAACCAATTTTAATAATGTTTGTAAAAAAGAGGCATGTAATTCTTACTTCAACTTCTGGAAAATTTTTAAAATACTGTAAAAAGGTACTCTTCCCACTTCCAATATTTCCTTCAACTGCAACCTGTCAAAAATTAAAATATTAACTAAAGGTTAGTAATGAGAGTCATCACAGAGAGCCTCACAGCATGTAAATAAGTAAATTGAGATGCAAGTAGGTTATTCCAAGTACATGTAAATGCACAAGCGCTGCAAAAATAATAACCCTTCAAAATGTTGTCAAGCATTAAACCCCCACAGACATTTACTAAAGTTGGCAGGTATGCACTGTCAATATGTAAACAAGGAAACATGATTTAATTTGTTATCTTATTCATTTTTCTTTTTAATATAGCTATGGGATTTTTTCAACTTATTTTTTTGTCCCTTTAGAATATTCTGCCACTTTTTATTGTTCAATAGCTAAAAGCAGTTGCAAAATATCTGGACAAATCTGATTGTATAGTTTGAAGTAACATATTTAATTGTTTTCCATTTTATGGCAAATAATCGATTTATAAAGTTTTACCCCAAGGCAGACTACACGAATGAATTTTATTTTTTCCGGACATTCGGTCTGGTAAACAACCTAGCTTTACCAGACCGAATGAAATTTTACCAGACCAATTTTTTTTACATCTAATTGTATATTATCCGACAAAATACCAACAAACCTATGACTTGTTGTGCCCTACTGCACTCCAAAATGCACAAAAACAAAATCATGTGACAAGAGTGTATATTTTGATGAAAGTTGTGCACAATTGCTTGAATGCATTTCAATGATAAAGAAAAGTAATGTCACATTTTATTGGATTTTGACAGGAAAATTATTTGTGAACTAAAAATAATTTAGAGTTTCTGTATAAAATATTTCCTGTATCTTCTTTCTTTTTCATATATCTTTTGGTTTTCAATTCTAGTGTTTATATTTCATAGCTGTATTTTGTGAACCTGCTTGGATTTTTTATTGTATTTGATCGGCAAATCCGGAATTGGCCTTATCCGTTCCCGGAATCTGATTCGGTTTTGTCTATATTTCCGGTTGATGGCAGCCATTGTTGTTTTTGTCAGTCATGCAGATATGTTTTTACCCGGATTTACACATTACTTGTTGGAGATTTTCGGCATAAAGCTAGCGGTTGAACAAAATAAACATGGCTGTCATGAATAATAAAGATGAAAATGAATTTTGAAATCATTTTTAGAATTTTGCTCCCAAAATTGGGAAAAATGTAGGGTTTTTAGAAAAATCCAAGAAAAAAACAACACCGGACATTCGGACCGGAATTCAACAAAATTTTACCAGACCGCTCCATTATTCACCGGATTTGTCCGACGAATTTCGTGTAGTCTGCCAGGGTAGATAACTCTAAGTTTAATATTTTACAGATTGTACTTACTGTGAAACCTTTATCTTTACTAGAATGTTTCTTAACATTTTCTGGAAATAAAAGAAAGTTAAACTTTACATTTAATATGTGTATATAGAAAAACAGTCTGTATTGAAGTGTAGTGACCATTTGTTCTCCATAAAACCAACCAAGTTGTGTGTATATAGAAAAACAGTCTGTATTGAAGTGTACTGACCATTTGTTCTCCATGAAACCAACCAAGTTGGTTCTACATACATTTGTAAAGTCAACTTTTGAAAATCAAAGCAATCCTGCTCTGCAAGTCAGCAGTAAATAAATAATAATAAAAAAGCTTTATTTAGAGTCGGCATAGTATACAAACAAGAACATAACATAAGCTCTAATGAGCTTTTAACCGACATAAAGTAGTTCTTGCTTTCATATAATTTTTTTTATATCCACTAAGGAATTTGGCATTGATTTGAGTTCTCTGCAAAATCAGTAGTTAGTTTTGGTTTCTAATATTTTATATCAAATTATGACAATGTTTGCACTTTTATGTTGTTCCCTGTAATATTCATTCTCAACTTGTTAAGGCAACTCTTAGCCAGACATATTGTATAGTCATTGGTCTATCATTTTTGTCTACTTTCACCATGCCACAAATTTTCTGGTTTTGTATTGTTTGATTGCTGCCTCTTTAACAGTTTACCATAGCTATAGGTAATATTATTGTTGAACATGTAGATAAAGATCAAATTTGCATGAACTATCCAACTAGAAACTAAGTAGAACAATTGTCTCTCCCTGCATTTACAGGGAATGTTTTTCATAGATACAATTTTCATGTTATACTGACCACTCAGAATAAAAGACCTCTTTTAACAGACAGTGAGAGAGTGAGGCCATTTCACTGAGCTGACATTGGGGATATTTGTTTACAATTGTATAATTTTCTTTTAATTTACATGAGTTAATTATAACATATCTGGATTGCAGGTACATTTTGTAACAAGTGCACATATGCATGATATGTTCACCCAAGAATAAACATTTTTGCTTTAAATCAGTTGACAAAAAAACTTGACATCAAACCTACAAAGTTATGCTTTTTTGTTTACACCAAATACATTGATTTACAAAGCCATCTGTATGAGTTGTGTTAGGAGTCATTTGAAGCAAAACAATCACACTTTCATTTAATATTAAAAATATGAACTTCTCTATAAAAAATTCAGACCATTAAGTATCATCTTAACTGAAAACAAACAAAACACAATTTTAAAAACTATTGTTCAAATTTTTCGTTAATTGTGAAATTGACATATTATTCCCAGTATACTATAGTCAACCCCCCCCCCCCCCCCCTCTTTCCCTTTTACATGACAACTTAGTTTTATCATAATTCATTAATTTGTTTTCGGAAGATAGGATAATCAAATTGTAACTTTGTTACTTCACAGAATAAATAATGTCTTGATAGGCAAGCAGCAATAAAATCTTGACAAGAGATCCGACTTCTCAAACGGAACCCCTTTTTAGTCCAGTTTTATCAGTAAGTTTTTTAAAATGTTTAAAAAACGTATCTTCTCTTGATCTATTGATTTCTTGATAATGATACATGCACACTAACAGTTATTTGTAAAATACCGTGTATATCAAATATTTAGAAATCATGAAAAAAACCTAGATTTAAGTGTTGTAACCCAATCATCTTGTCTGTTGGTCCTGTACATGAAGTTGATCACTGTTGATGGTTCTTTGTTTACATCAAATTTGGCGCAAAAATTCACATGTCCCGCTGAACTACTCATTAGCCAATCACACAAGTAAAAATTATTTACCTCATTTACAAGAACCTGTTAATTTCGACCCTTATTAATCAAATCGTCCCCTTTCGAATATCATTATTTGGAACATACTGATGTTTACTAAACAAAAGTGGTAGATCAATCAAATAAGTTCTATTCGATGGATTAATTTATTTTAGTTTCTGAGATAAGATAAGAAAATTTTATTTTGATTCGGAATTTTTAAAAACGAAAAAGCTTTTGACCGAATATAAAAACACATAGACAACATAACAAAATAATAACAACGTGCACTACATATCACTACATACACAACATTTGGCATTTAAATGTGAATGACTTGGTTTAACACGTCTGAGCGAAATATAGATCTACTAAAAAATTTGGAATAGGCTAATTAAGAAAATTACGCATATACTATAGTAAAAATCGTGAAAAAAATTTGATATTTATAACTGACAAAGAAATTTATTGATTAGCACTAAAAAATAACAAATAAAAGTATGAGCCACTTGAAACATGATGAAAAAACCTAAAATTGAAGATCTGTGTGATAATTAAAAACCGGCTAGATAAAGATGAAGCCCAAGCATTAAACTGTAAACACAGCGTCTGCAGCAAGCAAAAAATAAATATATATGCGAAGCCAGACCGCAAATTTGTGAACTTTGAAAAATTTGGTGAGCTGAACATATATCCAAGCGGCCGGGACCCATTTGGCAATCGCCTCTCTGAGTCTCCGCTTATTACTTACTATGCACATAGAAACCAGATTTGACAGCTTGAACAGAAAGCAAACATACGCAGATTTTAACTATCTGCAGGCTGAGCAACGACAGATTGAACCATTCCAGGATGAAGCAAACTCTGAAATGAGAAAAACTGTTTTCAGTTATATTCGTATCAGGGCATAATATTTTCCCAGTTTAAAAGGCATACTGAATGATCTTATTATACAAATCCTCAATATACATAAATATTTCACAATTTTTCTTTTCATTTGAGATTATGCATTTATTATTTTTTTTTCCTTTCCATTTATTAAGATAAAACATGTAGTCTATTTATTTCAGCAGGTGTGGGTAGGTATCAAACATGAGCACCTTAGCAGTAATTGTGCATCCTTCCTTTGACTGTCCCTCTGGTATCTTTCGTCCCTCTTTTGAAATGTTATGTATGCAGAGGTATTTTTTTAGATGTCTGGGTGTAGTTTGTTCATGCAAGTCTTTAAACGTTTTGATAGAAAAATGAAATTAAAAGCTATATTTCTTGTTACATTGTTTGTTACAGTAGAAATCTTTATGAGGAGATCTTGTTCTAGACTGACGTTTGAGAAGAATGTTTTATATAGTACTGTATATGTCAGCTCTCTGTTTTTTTTTATTGGAATAGCTTAATTTCCGTTCCCAATTTTATGTAACTCTTGTAATGTTTGCCGGTTTAGTGTGTCATGTATGTTAGTCATACTGCTGGTGTTGTGATGTCTGTTACATAGGTATCTTGCTGCAAGACACTGTACTTGTTCTAGTGATCTAATGTTTTCGTTTTTGTGTAGGTCCCAAACATTGCAGCAAAACATTAGATCACTAGAACAAGTACAGTGTCTTACAGCAGTATCTTGCTGCAAGACACCGTACTTGCTCTGGTGATCTAATGTTTTCGTTTTTATGTAGGTACCAAACATTGCAGCAATATTGTAATTTAGGTGTGATATTACGGTTTGTTAGTCTCTCTCTATTTGTTCTTGGTTGTACATAGTTGTACATGCAGATTTGATTGGATGTACATTGTTGTACATGCAGATTTGATTGGTTGTACATTGTTGTGCATGCAGATTTGATTGGTAGTACATTGTTGTACATGCAGATTTGATTGGTTGTACATTGTTGTACATGCAGATTTGATTGGTTGTACATTGTTGTACATGCAGATTTGATTGGATGAAACATGAAGATCAATTCAATTATTTGCTTTGGTTATAGTTTGCTGGATGTATGGTTTCCTTATTAGGTCTGATGAAAGTGTCATACCTAGCTAGATATTTTGCATTTTGAACTGATTCATATACCATGGCCATTTAATATGTTGAAGTAGAAATAAACAGGATTTTTCATAGTTGCTTTTCTCATAACAAGGAGGTTGTATGATATATAAAAATTAAAAAAATGTGGTATAATTGCCAATTTGAAAACTCTCAACCAGAGACCAAAATGACACAGAAGTTAACAACTATAGGTCACCACACGTCCTTCAAGAGAGACTATCTCATACAACCTCCTTGCTCATGAAATTATACTTGTGAAAGTGGAATGACAAGAACCAGTAGACGATAGTTTATACTTTCACCTTTGAAGAGTCTTTTCAGCTATGTGGTCCAGTAGGTCATTTATATAAATTTTGAAAAGTGTTGGTCCGAGCATACCCTGATGAACAACTGATGTAACTTTGTATTCTAGATGATGTTGTTTTCTAGGAAGACCAAGTATACAAAAAAGGAGATATGGTATTATCGCCAATTAGACAACTATCCATCAGAGTTAAATTTTAAAATAACGAAGACATAAGCAAGTATAGGTCACCATACGGCCTTCAACAATGAGAAAACACCATACCTTATAGTCAGCTATAACAGGCCCCGACATGAAAATTGTGAAAGAATTCAAACAAGAAGAACTAACGGTTAATTTATTATAATACAATTTATGAAAAACAAATATGACAGACAAGAACCAACGACAACCACTTCATTACAGTCTTGGGTCAGGAGCATAAACTGAAATGTGAAGGCGTTAAACAAATTTATGAGCGCTCAACCCTTCCACTAAGCGGGACCATAGGTGTAACAGCACAACATAAGAACAATCTGTAAAAATAAGTTGCAAATGGCTTACCTCAATAAATCGGTACAATGCACAAAAATTAAATAATAATTAATAGACACAAAGTACTCGCAGTAACCGAAATTTAGTTTAAAGCCAATTAAAACTAATGAATTAGTAATTTTATCCCAGACTAAAGTATCAATCAGAACACATCCAACGAATTTAGTGTAAAGACGTCATAAACATGCAGTTTGAGACACTCTTGATCTTGTAAAATGCTAAAATATAAATAAACAGTACGAATAGGAGATAAAACACTGAGTACTCATAACTCTACATAGAAAGCAATATATATTTAGGTACTAGTATGTTTTAATTTTTGAAAAACAATATTAGAACCGATGAAAACAACATTAAAAAAATGTAGTACGGTGTTAAATTGATGTTTATTTAAAGGTTTAATTAGTTGACATGAAACGTATCTACATTTTCGGGCTTTATGAACATCATCACCCTAAAATTAGAATGTTATATCCCGATTTGGTTAAGAATTTTACATGTACAGCCAAACTTCCTAACCAAATCTTTGCATCTATGAAAGAATTTTGTTGAAGATTTAATTTCATTTGTGGTAACGAAATTCCTGACTTGAATATTTACCAATTGTACATATATTACGTTCATTGAAATCTAAAAGGCGACTACAGAAAGGACATAGCGTACACGTTGGGAAATATACACACCGTATGAACGGTAAAAGGAACACGTCCAAAAAGGGAAATTCAGTATCAAAAGGGCACGGAAAATCGTCTCTTTCTCCGTAATCTCTTGAATATAGTTCCCCGAGAGAATCAGTAATATCCAAAACTAGAAGATATAAACAGATAATTATTGTTGTCTGTATTACATTTGATTAAAGTCAGTTCACTTAGTTAAATTTCTACAGTAAAATTCCAAAACTGTTGATTATTTAAAGCAAAAATAGCATCAAGGTAACTTAAATGCTTTTAAATTTATCCATTAAAATGTAACATAGACGCATTTTGTTGATTTTGGTCATACACGATTCATAATAATACAGGAACAAGTATGTTATCAAAGGGGCGCAATTGGTGCTCATAAGAATATCTACAACCTGTCGGTACACTTTATAGCCAAAACTCTGGTGGATAGTTGTCCCATTGGTAATCATACCACATAGTTGTCCCATTGGTAATCGTACCACATCTCCTCATTTTCATTATATATAATTATTTTGTTTCCTAAGATCTAGTAAATATTTAAGTGAGAATAACAGCAAATATATATTTTAATGTTTTGTTTTGTTTTGTTTTAGTACTCTGTCTCAGATGGCCAATAGCTTATAAGGGTTACACATATGTTTTAATAAGTTTGTATACTTCGTACATAACGATAGTGATAGGTTCAATTTTTTGGTTATGTACTAGGGGCTTTTCTGGAATAACAGTGTTAGCATCAGATGTATAAGATGACTGAAATTTTAGTATATGCATTATTATACGGATTTGAGTGTAAGGTGCCTTCGCTTCTCAGAGGAGCTTTGCCGGTGTTTTCATTTTTTAAGTTTTCTTTCTTGCATCATCGAAGTTATATTCACGCAGTGAGAAAATCCCGCACCCGGAGGCGGGCTTTAGCTGGCCCTAAACAATAATGTATACTAGTTCAATGAAATGGACGGTCACGCCACACTAAACTCCGAAACAAATAAATGAACCAAAATTTAAAAAACACACACAAGACCAACAAAGGCTAGAGGTTCGGCGCAAAAATGCGGCGGGGTTAAACATGTTTTTGTGAGATCTAAACCTCCCCATGCACATACCTCTAGCCAATGTGGAATAAACAAACACACAGCAATACGCACAGTAAAACTCAGTTTAAAAGAAGTCCTAGTCCAATGTTAGAATAGGCAACAGAAGAAACTAAGCAAATGACAATGATCAACATAAATCAAAAAAGGACTACATGCAGTTACTGACATGCCATCGCCAGACCTCAATTAAACTGATCGAAAGAGTATGTCTCCTTCATATGAAAATCAAGCACAATCCCTCCCGTTAGGGGTTTAGCATCATGCCATCATAAATTATACGAGAAAAGCATAACCGTATCATGCCAACAACTGCATGGTTTTGGAATAAATGTGTTTATTTCCGATGCAAATAAGACTGTATGAGTGATTCAATATTAATTCCGAAAAAAAAAAATGCCATGATTAATGACTCTGAATAAGTCTGTTTAATAAACGTTTGGATAGCTTTTTAGGTGAATGACAACATTTTTTAAAACAAGCAAATTCTGTATTGCCAATTTGGGCGTCCTTATAGATGTTATTTTACAACATGTACAAAGACCGAAACAAAAATAATTATGTGTGATTTAGAAACAAGTAGTAACTACACTTTTTTTAAAAGAAAAAGTGAAGAAATGCATGCGCTCAGATGCTTTTATAATCAATAAATCGACAGTGCTAAATATTCTGAAATTTGGCATTGCATGCACAGGGTCATGCCACAGGCACTTGTCTCAGAAGTTTTTTCCCCTATATACCTTAATATAACATTATAACATTAAGGTATATAGGAAAACATTTTTCTGAGACAAGTGCCTGTGGGTCATGCTTTTCCAATACGGTTTATAGCCGTTGGAATGTACAGATTGATATTTTACAATTATATAGAACATTATTGATTCATTTAGTTGTGATTCGCGTTGAATTAACTTTCAATAACTGCGAGCAATTCCTATTATCCTTTAGCATAAAGAACTAAAAGAGGGACGAAAGATACCAGAGGGACAGTCAAACTCATAGATCGAAAACAAACTGACAACGTCATGGCCAAAAATAAAAAGACAAACAGACAAATAATAGTACAGATGACACAACATAGAAAACTAAAGACTAAGCAACACGAACCCCACCAAAAACTGGGGGTGATCTCAGGTGCTCCGGAAGGGTAAGCAGATCCTGCTCCACACTAAATGGATGTCCTCAATTCAAAACACATTTATTGTTGACATTTCTATTTTTATTATCAAATTAAAAGTTTCAAAGTTTTTTTAAAAAATTAAATCAATACAATTAAATATATTATTATACTGAATCATTATTGTCTTATAAGTTTAATGTTTAGTCTGTTTATTATGTTGTGAATACTAACATTGCAACAGAGACATACAAAACAAAATTATATGTCACTAATTGTAATTAGTCTGCTTTTCAAAGGGCACCTTGGCTGATCAATAAAACTATCTGAATCTGTATCTCAGTCGGTTTTTTTTTACATGTTTGAGTCTTTTGTATTTATGTCAATTAATTTGTGCTTCGTGGTAATATGGCAGGAAAACCATTACTAATTGAATTTTGTTGGACAAATAGTCAGTAAAAGGCCGTGCATGGTTATTTGTCTGCCGGCTAGCCAGACGAATAGCATTTTTAGCTAAGCTATTTAGTCAGTTCGTTGAATTTTATAGTTTATAATTTTACACCACTCACTGTCCCTTTTTATTGGGCTGGGGTGGGGGACACCTTTACAACCAAAGGGAAAAAGAATCTCCAAATTTACTTTGCCTTGCGAGCTCGAAATGAAGATGGACCGAAACGTAAATGGGACGAAATAACTCAGGCAAAATAAATTAACGAAATAGAAAGAAAAATAGCCCTCATGCAGACTCTACATTGCGTGGATCATTAGAATAAAACTGTGAATCCATTCATATATATCACTATTTTATATTATATTTTTTTCTTATTCATTCTTCTAACTAATCAAATTAGGACGCGCGCTTTTCGTCCGGAGAAAAATTGTTAGGATGCTGAGGAGATGTTTCAGAACAAAAAGATACGAATTTTTGTAAGAAACAAAGCACGGTACAACCCAGCATCTAAGGAATACGGATTTCTTCACGTTGATGTAGCTAACTATGCAGGAACGACTATAGGAAACATCAAGGAGGTTAATATTTTAAACCGGAAATGACAATGTTTGTAAACAAACCCATGTGCTAGTGTGGGTTTGTAATAATTAATATGGCTATGCCTATCGTTGTAAAAAGAATCCAAAAATCGATTTAAAAAGAATGCTTTTTACTCAGAAACATACTTATTATACCGTAGAATACTATAAATAAATGTCTTACATTTTTTTCAAGTAAATAAATTGTGTCTGCTCTATCTGTATAACCCTAAGAGTAAGAGAGCCACGTTTTTTTTGGTAATATACTGCCCTAGATGTTATATTTCAACGGAAAAGTCATGCGATTGTTTTTCAATTTTGTCTGGAAGCAATTCTTTTTTTTTGTGCAAAAACTGTCCTACAAAATTTATTCATATCTTTATTATATTACAATGTCACTAATTTTTCCGTTTATTGATACAGAAATTTACAGGGGGTAACCGACTTTGTGTTTACTGTATGAATCCTTTTCAACATGTTTATGTTATATATAAAAACATTGAAATTAAGAATTCCTTTTTTTGATATCCATCATGCAGTTATTCTGAACTCTAGTTTCAGGCAAAATTTAATTCAAATCTCTGATATCTACAATTTACGTACCTGTTACCTTAATTGACGTATATCATGTGTAAATGGTCAAATTGAATAGTGAAAAAAAGAAATCAATCTGTGTTGTTGTCGTTTGTTACAGTCTATCATATTTGGTTTTCGTTTATTATTTTGTATATTCATCAGGTTTTTGGCTTGAATTGTTTTATATTTTGTTATGTCGGGATCTTTACAGCTTAAATTACGGTTGAATTATTATTCAAGGTAATTTATTCATATAAAACAACACCGTTTTGAAGATAATAAATATATATCTATATATATTTATTTTAGAAACACTCCTCATTGATGATATTTTAACTATTATGTCTCCTCTTGCATTGTTTATGCAATCCCTTTTGACAACGAATGCATTCAGTTATAGCTCTATGCCTAATCCCATTTTTCTGGTCAGAGCAAACAATTGTAACCTCCGAAAACGATAAAACTGGCTTACGAAAGCACAAATGTAAGGTTCATGAATTTATTGTACTGTATTCATATATTCACATTATACATATATCGAAAAATAACATTAATTATTGGCAACGCTGAATAGTTCAATATTTGTGAAAAAAATGGAAAAACACAAAACATCATAAGTCTATTAATATGCAGATATAAATTCAATTAAATTTAACTTGAAATAAAGATTGCTTTTTCAAATATCAATTAAATACATCAGAACTATTAATTTATCCAAAGCTATATAAAAGCTATAAGAACACGATTATCTCCCTTTCTGAATATTACAATTCTTAACATTTCTCAAATCAAAATATGAACACAAGAGAAAGTCTTCAAAGTAAACAACATTTTTTTTATGAATAATCAATAATGTTTCAATTAGAAATATCAAAAATTAACTAAACATAATCATAATATCAATCAAGGGCACATAATTACAATTCAAAATACATACCCTAAATAAGGAAATGGTAGACAGTTTCACCTCAAAATATCATCCTCTAGTAGGAAAAACACATAGATCTACCTGTGAACAATATTGACTTTATCAGAACCTTTTATATTTAAAATGTAAAACAAATCTTTCATAGTATAAATATTTCTCAACAATGCCTATCAATTATTTCAATAAAACTATAATTATATTTTTCAAATGATTATACAAATTTCGAAATCATATTTGCATTTGCAAAACTTCAGATAAAAATATAGAATGTTATTTACATGCACATGTCATATTTTTGTTCTTTTTGTATTTTATAAAACTCTTTTATATAAAACAGTCATATTCAAAATCATTATAAATATTTACAAAATACACCAACCTTAAATCTTCAAATATTCTTGTTCACAAAACTGAGACACAACTACACCTGTCGATCAGTTATTTATCAATAGTAAAAACATACAATGTAGTGAACAGTTTTTACCTGTACACTAATTACTAGAATGAAGTAAATAATATTTTGAAATACCTTTAAATAATATTTGGACAAAATAATCAAACTGTATCATAAATATGATTTAATAAAATATATAAATGCTAATATAAAAATTATCTTTTCTGTTTTTTCTTAATTTTATTTAATTTCCAAATTTTACTTCAATTGCTGAACTCTATACAAAGAGAGATAACTCAAAAACTTCTAATGTAGTTTTTGACATATTACAAAACTTCAATTGCTGAACTCTATACAAAGAGAGATAACTAAAAAGTTTCGAATGTAATTTTTGACATGTTACAAATCTGCCTAGTTTTCTTTTTGTTGCCCTCAACAAACAATATAAAAATACACAACTACATATTCAATATCATTATCTTTGTTATTATAATGATCTAGCATAAAAATATTGTGATCGTTTGACTATACACATAAAATATACTTTCTCTCAAAATTAACATTTTTCAACATAAATCTAATTGTTTGACATATTATGCTTTAACCATCCTTCTTGAAGCGTTTGTCCTAAACTCTGTCCAAGACTAGTTCCTAATGCAGCAATTGCTTCACCCAATTGTTCAAATTTCACTGGTTCTATGTTTGCATGAACAGATGCTTCTTTTAACAAGACAGACGTTGGCAAGTTAAAAGGATTTGAATGTTTTCCAGCGTTTGTTCGTTTTGATCTCCTTCTTGAATTGTCATCATCTACCGGTGGTGTCATATCTATGCTAGCTGTTGTAACATCTTGTTCATCTTCGCCAGATTCCTGATGTTCTATTTGAATTGGTAACGGAATCGGGTCAACAATGGTCACATTCCATCCTCCAAAACTCGAATTACTGTCCTCAGTAATATCTGAACTTGAGTTTTGCATCATGTCTAATTTTCCTGTGTCACATATTTCTCTTCTAGTGACATTCCTAACGGGACCACTACCATCCGCTAACTGAATCCCATACACATTGTCTTTAAAACGGTGAACAACTCTGTACGGTGTTGGATGCCAATTGTCCTGCATTTTGTTTCGTCCCTGTACATGTTTCTTCAATAAGATGTTCGAACCAATTTCTATAGTCTTGTCATCTGTTCCTCTATTCATAACTTCTTGTCTTTCACTCGCTTTCTTGTGAATGTTCTCATTAGCTGTCTTCAAGGCTTCAGTCATTCGCTTTTGATGATTAGCTAAATAAATATCTAAATCGGTGTCTATTTCCGTCATATCATTATGAAAAAGATTGTCAATAGGGAGTCTTGGCTCATGACCAAACATCAGGAAATATGGAGTATATCCAGTTGAAGAATGCGGTGTTGCATTGTACATGAAAGTTAGTTCTGGCAGATACTCAGGCCATTTAGCTTTCTTTTCGGGCATTAATGTTCTTAATCTGTCATGCATTGTCCTATTAAATCTCTCAGTTTGGGCGTTTCCTTCTGGTTTGTACGGTGTTGTCCGTGATTTTTTAATGTCATATATTCTACAGAGTTCACGTATCACTACACCCTCAAAATTCCTACCCTGATCACTGTGTAACCGTTTTGGTATCCCTAGTTTCAAAAACCAATCCTTAACCAAAACTTTAGCGACAGTTGTTGCTTTCTGGTCTCTCGTTGGAAATGCTTGTGTAAATTTAGTAAACACATCAGTTAGTACTAAAACGTTTTCTCTACCATCTGAAGATTTCTCCAAAACTGTAAAATCCATAGCTAGAATATCTAATGGTTTACATGCTATTAACGAACCCATTGATGGACGAACTTTTGGTAAAGGATTTTTAGCAACTAAACAACGTTCACATGTTTTTATCCAATGTTTTACATCGTTTATCATATCTGACCAGTAACATCGTTTATGCAATAGCGCTAATGTTCGTTCTGTACCTTGGTGTCCGGATAAATTGTGTAGTGTTTCAAGAACGTAGTGTTTCAATGTTTCTGGTATTACTAACTGTTTACTCTCACCACATTCTATGTCACTGATTTTTCTGTATAAAATACCATTGTCTATCACCAATGAATCAAATTTCCTCAGTAACTTCTTCACTGGTTTCGTTTGTTTCATCAGCATCTGTGTAGTCAGTTTACCCTGCTCTACAAAATTTAAAACAACAGAGAGAACATTATCACTACTTTGTAATTGTTTTATTTCATCTACAGTATACTCTGGAAATGTTGACATTGTCTCTATTTGATCAGTCAAATTTATTTGGTTGATATGCATGTGTTGTACATTGTTGTTTTTACACTCTCGCAATTTGTTTAAAGAAGAACTTTGTACTATTTGTCTGATATTTGTCTCAACATCTAATGGATTCCTGCTCAATACATCTGCATTGACATTAGATCGTCCTGATCTATATTTGACCTCGAAGTCAAATTGTGCAAGTTGAGAAACCCATCTCATTTCAGTCGCACCCAGTTTTGCAGTTTGCAGGTAACACAAAGGATTGTTATCAGTATAAACTATAAATTTACTTCCTATCAAATAGTCTCTGAATTTTTCGGTCACAGCCCATTTTAGAGCCAACATTTCAAGTTTCATCGAACTATAGTTATCCATATTCTTTTCATTCGGATGTAAGCTGCGTGATGCATACGCTATGACAACAGTTCCTTGTTCTTGTTCTTGCGATAGAACAGCGCCTAAACCTTCTATACACGCATCGGTTTCTAAACGAAATGGCTTTTTGAAATCAGGAAAACCTAAAATAGGCGAACTTACTAATTTCTGTTTTAACTCTTCAAACGACTCTAAACATTTCGCATCCCATTTTTCTTGAAACTCTTTAGCGCTTAGTAACTTCAATTGTTTTGATTTTCCCTTCTTTCCATTTGTTTTTGTAATGAGTGAATGTAACGGAGCAGCTATCTTACTGAACTTTGGAACAAACTTCCTATAGTAACTGCATAGTCCTAGAAATGATCGGAGTTCTTTTTCAGTGGTAGGTACTTTCCAATCTTGAATTGATTTTGTTTTGTCTGGGTTTGTTTTAATGCCATCTTGTGAAATAACGTGGCCTAAGTATCTTACCTCCTTCTTGAAGAAATGACATTTAGACAATTTTAATTTCAAACCATGCTGTCTTAGTCGCTGAAACACAAACTCCAGGCGTTCTAACTGTTCTTCTACTGTCTTTGAAAAGATAAGAATATCATCTAAATAAATTAGTAATATTTCAAAATTTTTGTCATTGAAACATGCTTCCATTATTTTTTGAAATGTAGCCGCACTATTAGAAAGTCCCATCGGCATTCTTAGGTACTCATAAAGACCTCCCGTTCCAACACGAAATGCAGTCTTATGAATATCCCTTTCATCGGTCGCCACTTGATAATAACCTTGGGATAAATCTAACGTTGTATAAAATTTTGTTCCGTGCAAAGTGTCTAATGCCTCTTCGATCCTTGGAAGTGGATAAGCGTCGCGTATTGTCTTTTTATTCAATAATCTATAGTCAACACACAGCCTAATAGACTTGTCATGCTTACGGACTATTACTACGGGCGCAGCATAAGGACTACAACTCTTACGAATAATATTTTGATTTAACAATTGTTTGATATGTGCTCTAACTTCTTCCATTTGATTAGGCGGAATACGTCTATGCGGAATCGCAATTGGTTTCTCGTCTGTCGTAAGAATTCTGTGCTTTACAATATCTGTGTATCCTAAATCTAAATCATTTTTACAAAATATATCGGTATTCTTGTTTAACAAGTCTTTAACTTTTTCTATTTGTTCATGCGTAAGGTTTTCCTGTTCTATGTCGAGGTCATTCAATTGTATTTTCTTATTGTTCTCTATATTTGTTGTAGCTTGCTTACAAACAGCAATATCTATTTTCTTTATTTGAACGTTAATTTGAGTCTCATCTATATCAATGTCAATATTGTCCTGTGACACCTCGTGTATTAGTGAAGCTGAATGTAATGTACCAACTCTTGTTTTCTGATTAATCCATACATCTTCTAATCCTATATTAATCATACGTACCGGTACTGTTCCTTGACTTATCTCAGCATAACTATCAACTACCATAATGTTTCTTGGTAAAGAGCCTTGGTTACCTTGTAATGACTGAACAACTGCACAATGCTTTTCATTATTGTCTTTTTGTCTGGTTGTACACATTACTGTCTTCATTGAATTTCCAGGTATATGTACTGGACTGCTACCTGCTATCTTAACAAAAGATATCTTTGGAGAATCTATTTCACAGTCAAAAGAATTATTGTATAAAGTTAAGATACCTGACAATTGCTTCCCAATAAGAGTGTTTTTTTCAGTTTCATTATAAACTTCTAAGGTTTCTTTCATCTTCATAAAAAAATTGCTTCCTAGTAAAAATGGTAATCTACTTTTACTATTGTTATCAGTGTCTTTCACAACAAGAAAACCAACATTCGGAATCATTGTTTTCACTACTGAAATGTTAAGTTCAATATAACCTAAATATGGGATAGGTAAATCATTGGCTCCAGTGACTTTCATCCATCTTGTTATATCGTGTAGTATTGGTTTCGTTTCTAATAATGTATTAAAATATGTTTCAGTAACTGTTGAAACCTGGGAACCAGTATCTATAAGTGCTATAACTGATTGATTTTCAACAACAATTTCTGTCTCTGGACTTTTACTAGCAATGTTTTTAAAAATATTACTTTGAAATGAATTGGAGTCTACTTGTACTGTAGTATCTTCTACTGATCGACTCACCGCAGTAGAAGCTACTCTTTTACCTCTTCTGAGTCACTAGGAACAACAGCTCCTCGACCTTGATATCTGTTACCTCTTTGGTTATATCTACCACGATAACCTCTTCCTCTACCTCTAAACTGTCCATGCGTATGTGTTTTCTGTGTATCTTCGTCACTTCTTTGTGCTTGAAAAACTGATGGACATTCCGGACGTTTATGACCCTTACCACCACAATTATAACAAATAATTGGTTTATGGCTATTATATACATCATTGTTTGTTGAATCACTATAGTTTTTAACATTAGACAACCTATCAATTTGCTGTTGTTGTTTTTCTAACATTTCCTGTTGTTTTGTGAGAAGTTTTAATATTTCGGAATTGTCTTTCGATGTGTGTTCAGATTTTATTGCTTGATTGCTAACAACTTCGGCATCTTGCATTTGTAGTTTTACTTTCCAACTTTGTGTATTTTCATTCACCCAAAGTAGCACTTCTTGTCTAAACTCAAGAAATTTCATTGTTTTGTGCTCATAACTGAATCGTTTTACTTCTCGTTTCAAGTGTGGTTCTTTAATACCTTCAATAAATCGATCTTTAAGAACTTTATCTTTATCACCCAAAACTGTGTTATCTCGCTTGTTTATTTGGTCAAATATTTTCATCAGATTCAAAGAATAGTCTTGCAAAGTTTCATCATCTTTTTGATTTCTTTGAAAAAATAGCTGTTGTAATTGACTTACGGAATCATCACCATCATAAATACTATGAATCAAAAGCAAAATTTTATCAGCAGAATCTCTTTCTAATAACGGTCTTAGTCTTATCTCATCTTTAGCTGGAGATATTAGATTTTGCATAAGAAAGTCAATTTTGGCTTTTTCGTCTGGTATTGTAACGAGATGTTCTCGGGCATCTTCCAACCAATCACTTATTATCGGATCTTTGTCTTTTTCGGGCCTACCGGATAATTTTGTAAACGGTCTCTCTTTTGCAACATATACAGTTTTTGTTGATTTTTGTAGTTGTTCAATGATTTTGTTATTATGTTCTAATTGTTGCTTTAATTGTAAGTTTTCACCTTTTTCTTTGTGCATATGGTATAATTTCTTACTCAATTCGTCTACCTCTTTCTGTAACTTTTCTTCTTTAGTTTCCATCTTGCTTGTAATATCTAGCACTTTAACCCCTAGAAAATATTGTCTAACCAACGTTGCCAATTTTTTATATATATATATAGTTATCCTGTCGACGACGCCATTTTTGTAACCTCCGAAAACGATAAAACTGGCTTACGAAAGCACAAATGTAAGGTTCATGAATTTATTGTACTGTATTCATATATTCACATTATACATATATCGAAAAATAACATTAATTATTGGCAACGCTGAATAGTTCAATATTTGTGAAAAAAATGGAAAAACACAAAACATCATAAGTCTATTAATATGCAGATATAAATTCAATTAAATTTAACTTGAAATAAAGATTGCTTTTTCAAATATCAATTAAATACATCAGAACTATTAATTTATCCAAAGCTATATAAAAGCTATAAGAACACGATTATCTCCCTTTCTGAATATTACAATTCTTAACATTTCTCAAATCAAAATATGAACACAAGAGAAAGTCTTCAAAGTAAACAACATTTTTTTTATGAATAATCAATAATGTTTCAATTAGAAATATCAAAAATTAACTAAACATAATCATAATATCAATCAAGGGCACATAATTACAATTCAAAATACATACCCTAAATAAGGAAATGGTAGACAGTTTCACCTCAAAATATCATCCTCTAGTAGGAAAAACACATAGATCTACCTGTGAACAATATTGACTTTATCAGAACCTTTTATATTTAAAATGTAAAACAAATCTTTCATAGTATAAATATTTCTCAACAATGCCTATCAATTATTTCAATAAAACTATAATTATATTTTTCAAATGATTATACAAATTTCGAAATCATATTTGCATTTGCAAAACTTCAGATAAAAATATAGAATGTTATTTACATGCACATGTCATATTTTTGTTCTTTTTGTATTTTATAAAACTCTTTTATATAAAACAGTCATATTCAAAATCATTATAAATATTTACAAAATACACCAACCTTAAATCTTCAAATATTCTTGTTCACAAAACTGAGACACAACTACACCTGTCGATCAGTTATTTATCAATAGTAAAAACATACAATGTAGTGAACAGTTTTTACCTGTACACTAATTACTAGAATGAAGTAAATAATATTTTGAAATACCTTTAAATAATATTTGGACAAAATAATCAAACTGTATCATAAATATGATTTAATAAAATATATAAATGCTAATATAAAAATTATCTTTTCTGTTTTTTCTTAATTTTATTTAATTTCCAAATTTTACTTCAATTGCTGAACTCTATACAAAGAGAGATAACTCAAAAACTTCTAATGTAGTTTTTGACATATTACAAAACTTCAATTGCTGAACTCTATACAAAGAGAGATAACTAAAAAGTTTCGAATGTAATTTTTGACATGTTACACAATGCAGTCCTTTTGCTTACAGTGCTGAAGCTTCCTGATACCTGGCTGTGCGATCAACGGATTACTTTTCTGTTGGAGATGTTCAAGTGCTAATTACTGTCAATAACACATTGAATGAACTGAAGTCTAGACAAAGGAGTGTGTTCATCGGTGTTCTGATAATATAAAATATAAGAATTAAATAAAATGCGATGTAATATATGAATAAGAACTTTTGTCCAAACTCTGCAACTCTCTCTTTTATTGTGTATATCACAATCATATGAAAGTGTTGTATGCACATGTACACAGAACTTTTGGTTTACCCGTGTATTCAAGTGCATTACATTTGTATAATTAGATGAAACAACTATTACTGGTTTTTGTCGACTTTCATTTTGTTTATAAGAAAATACAAGGAGTGGTCCTTGCCTAGCAAAAACAGGCTGATCGACATTAGGTTTGGCATCCTTTATCATTTTAGGAATTTGTCCTGATTTCCTTATAGTTCCAGTTAGATAGGTGTTATGTCTTAATAGTGTTTTAACAAGAGAAATCGAGGTGAAAAAACTATCAACAAATTCGTGGTAACCTTTTCCCAATAGGGAAGTGGAGCTCAGATAATTCACCACGACATTAGTACCTTGAAGTGTACCATTAGGTACAGTACATGTATCACATTTTTTCCCTTCGTAAACTTTTATTTGTTGTATGTAGTCAGTTACAGCCTTGACCAACATCCTAAATTTTATTCCGAATCTAGAACGTTTACTAGGTATATATACTGTAGCATGGCTGTTCTCCCTTTCGTACCTACTAGCGATTGAAATTTCCTTTCTTGGGCAGTAATAAAACAGAAAATTGCGGTTCACAAAATCTATAAGTGGTTGAAATCTTTGTGCAGGACGATAGTTTTGGTTTTTATGATTTGGTAGTCTGTTATCACAAACAAGTCGGAGAAATTTCAAGATGTTTTGAAAGCGGTTTCTTGAAAACATACACCTGAACCAAGGCGTTAACTGCAAAACTGAGTTTGGATTCCAGTACTCACTAATTGATACTTTTCGGATCAGACCCATATTAAAAAATTACAGAAAGAAAACCTTTAAATTCAAACATCGTAAGTTTTCCATTTCTCCCCCACCTAAGTTTCCTTGATTCCCTTCCAATATAGTGTCGAGTTGTGTTACACATATCATTGGCATAACTGAAAATAAGTATTATAGATCTTAATATATGTATCGTGTTCGAAATTTTATTATTAAGTTTATTGTCTGATTTAAAGATAATTTGTTTCTACGTTATTTACTGTTCCAGTCGTAGTCGTAATAATTTCTGTTTTTTTCCTGATACCATATAAATGTAATCGGAACATGATTGTGCTTCAAATTTTTGTTTGCTAGTTTGTAAGTACGTTTGTTTTGTTCAGCTAATGACACTTTTTACATAAATTCATATTCATTCAGTAAACTTGTAGTGCATGGAAACAGAAACACCACAGAAATGTATCAACAAATATCAAGATAAGACATTGGACACACAATTCTAAAAGTTGATACGGGGAAATTTAAAGTTTCTGATGATTTATTTTAGTAAAATAAAAAAGGCTTTCCTTAACCAAACAACAATGCGACATCATTTTTCTTTTATAATCCAAAAATAGAAAGTTTCAAACATGTACCTATCTATCAGGTGCTCTCGCTTGCTAAAAGGGTATGTTTATGAAACTGAGAAATTGTAAGAATATATTTTTGGACTTAAACGAAAGCAAGTCTTCTTTTTTGTTTTCTTTTTCGTAAGATTATTTCTTTTAATACAGATAAAGTAGTTTTGATGCTGAACATAATTAATATTTGTAAAACTACAGCTTTTTTCCTGAAACCAACCTGTTCGTTTGTCTCACAAATTCTTTCATTAACTCTACAGAAAACAATAAATAAAAATATGCTATTGGCGGCAAGTTTTTATCCGGCATTCTCATTGGTCCCCGCTGGTTAATGTTAACTCTGGTTCTTCATCTTCTTCTGGTGGCAAAACCCGAAACCGCATAGTTGGAATTTGGTGACGCCGGCCATCTTCCAAATCAAGCACTCTAGCATTATGACGTAATGCTTATTATTACGTAAAGTCAAAATTCCGTTGCCCTTTGGGCCTCACCGTGGCACTCAACGGTAGTGTTTTTCAATAGGCCGGATAGGCCGTATAACATAGAAAAGGTTAAACAGTCAGCTGGAAATATTTCTGCATTCTGATTTAAAAATACAATAATTTATAATATGAGGCATGTGTTACCTGTGGAAGAGGATGAAATATGGATCACTTTTGTGATTCTCTTTGATAATCAAAGATATATATATGTACAAATTAATTGCAATTTGCAGCAAAAAGTACATTTGTACATGCTTTACAACATGGCAACATTCCGTCTACAGCAAGAATGTGCAAGTGCAACTGTTGTAAAAGAAAAAGTCCACTAGTATATTACTTTTTCTTTTATATTTTATTTAAAATATTTGCTTTAAATGTTTAAATTTTCATGAATCCAACCAGAGACATATTGTGTATTTATGTCTCTGGTCCAACTAAATCTGTGATCAGATAGTATAATAAGATATTTTAATTTTGTTTGATATGTCAAAATGTTTCGCACTTTCAGAAAATAACTTTGGGGATTAAAAGTCTTCACCATTCTTATCATTACATCAAGGCATATAAATGCTTTCTGGACATGCCATATTAGAAACCTGTGGGAGGCACCCTGGTTAGATTAGCTGAGTCCTATCATCATATAAACTATCATTAAGCTGTTAAAAAGAATCCAGTACTATGCTTCTTGTCATTTACTGGAAATTGACCCCTGTTTTCATGCATGTCTTGAATGAGTAAAGGTAAAATTTAAGAGATGTGTAAAAAAATTTGTAATTCATCACATAAAATGATTATGCTATGGTCATAAAACCAGAGGAAATCCGAAATTTGTTTACCTTTATAAAGCACATGATTACCAGTTTAATATAATCATCTTTTTATCTTCAAAGTGATTGTTTTAATCACATGTCATGAAAGGTCATGCGAATAATGGAAAAATTATGTTAAGCATGGGTCAGAATAAAGCAAGTAGACTTCAAACATTGTATTTTTACACTTCAAAGCTGAACTTCCACCAGATCGATATTCACTGGTTCAAAGCATGATTAGATTAACAAGATTACTAAGGATTCAATTGATTTCGTGGATACAAGTTTAAGAATTGGAAGAAAATTCACATTTTTATAGATAATTGATTTCCTGGTTTTGCCCTAGTCTGCATACAAGTCTATAGAAAATTTGTACCTCGCTGAACATTTAACATGTTTAAATTTGTGATCAACCCATGCCTATGAAATCCACAAAAATTGGTTTCTCCGGGAATAACAATTAATCCACAGTAGCCATACTAGTTTTACCTTGTTAAAATTTGAGTTGCAACGCCTTGAATTTTTTAAGGTAAGCTCTTCTCTTGACTCAAAATTCTATCACTGTCCCTACAGTTTCAAGATAACTAGACTCTCTGTACATATATATAACTTCTGTATCTTTTTTTTTCAGAACGTCAAAAAACAGTGCAGAAACAGTTTAAAATTGGATGACCTATTTCTTAATAATGAGAAGTTATCTGATGAAAGGTATTTAAATAAGTGGCTTGTGGCCTTTATCAGCATTTGGTGTAGGTAAATTCAAGCTGTCTTTTCAATATAGCTTTTTTGCGTAACGCGTTGTGGGGGACATGGAAATACCTGGCGTCTGTCCTTCTGTCCGTCCATGTGTCCGTCTATCCGTTCAGTCTTGTTAACGCGCTCACAGGTACAATTCTTGCCAGATTTTTATTAAACTTATACTATAGGTTAATATTAGCAATATCTCACACAAGATGTATAATTGTGGCTGATCGACTTTTTTAAAAAGAGTTATGCCCCTTGGAAATATTAAATTTATGGAACATGGCCTCGTTAACGCTCTCTCAGGTACAATTCTTGCCAGATTTTTATAAAACTTATACTATAGGTTAATATCAGCAATATCTCGGACAAGTTATATAATGGTGGCCGATCGACTTTTTTTAAAAGAGATATGCCCTTTGGAAATATTAAATTTATGGAAAATGGTCTTGTTAGTGCTCTCACGGGTACAATTCTTGCCAGATTTTTATAAATCTTATACTATAGGTTAATATCAGCAATATCTCGGCCAAGTTCTATAATGGTGGCCGATCGACTTGTTTAAAAGAGTTATGCCCTTGGAAATATTAAATTTATGGGAAATGGCCTCGTTAGCGCTCTTACATGTACAAATCTTGCCAGATTTTTATAAAACTTGTTCTATAGGTTAATATCAGCAATATCTTGGACAAGTTTTGTAATGGTTGACGATCGACTTTTTTTAAAAGAGTTATGCCCCTTGGAAATATTAAATTTATGGAAAATGGCCTTGTTAGCGCTCTCACTGGTTCAATTCTTGCCCGATTTTTATAAAACTTATACTATGCAGTGTAGGTTAATATCAGCAATATCTCGGACAAGTTATATAATGGTGGACGATTGATTTTTTTTTTAAAAGAGTTATACCCCTTGGAAATATAAAATATGTGCAACGCGGGGGACATTGGAACTCAATTCTTATATTATGTTTGTTAAACAATGAATAAAACTGTGAGATTTTATGTAAATTTTGTATAAAAAAAAGCTGTAGAAATTTTACCTGTCTGGAGAATTTACAGTACTTAGGACTCCTAATATTAAAGATGTACTTGTATACTATCTAGAGTCACTGACCTCATACTAACACAACCAGAATAATACCAGGCATTAAGACCATAAAGGAACAGATATTTGGCTTTTAAATTGTGTTAGTCTTAGGACTTAATGGTTTTGAAATGTTTTAATCGTACTTGATGATCCTTTTTCAGGTCTGTAGCCCATTATAACTTAGAAGACGGTACCATATTAGAGTCAGCATCCAACCCTTTCTGGGTCACCTGTCTATTTATAAAGCAGTATGAAGTAGAACAGACCAAACTTAACAACCCTAATGATAAAGCTATTCAGGGCTGGACCACCAAGTCTTTCAACAGGAAGAAAACCCTGCTTTCAGTGTTGCTCAATTCAAAAAAGTAAGTTTGCAACATTTATGGAGTTATTAATACTACCATAGAACCATCTGTTAATGTCCACCGCATAACCTGTGCGGGGGACATAGAAATACCGGGCGTCTGTCCATCCTTCTGTCTGTGCGTACGTCGGTTCGGTCTTGTTAGCACTCTCATGTCTTCAATTCTTGCCAGATTTTTATGAAACTTATATCATAGCTTCATATCAGCAATCAGTGCTGATCAATTATTTTTAAGAGTTATGCCCCTTGGAAATATTGATTATATGGAAAATTGCATTGTTAGCGCTATCATGTGTACAATTCTTGCCAGATTTGTATGAAACTTATATCATAGGTTTATATCGGCAATGTCTCTGACAATTTGAAAATAAGTGCTGATCAAATATTCTTAACGATTTATGCCCCTTGGAAATAGTAATTGTATTGGAAATTGCATTGCATTTGCTCTCAAGCCTTCATTTCTCTAAGATATTTATAAAAGGTTTTAAAAAACAAAAAGAAAAAGTTTTTTTTTAGTTATTGCCCTTGGACCTTGGACAGATAAAATATATGGAACGCGGGGACATCAGAACTCTGTTCTTTTATGTTATTAAAGAAAAGATATCAAAAATCAAAATGTATTGTAAAGCTATCAAAACCTCTTGCAAAACATCAAGTCCTGCCAAAATAGTCTTGTTTTAGGATCTAGTCATGAGCCAAGGTTTTATAAAAAGATGATAATATGAAGTATATTATGCACATAATTAATGTTACCAAAACTATGTGTGAAATGGCATTTTTTGGTCAAATACATTAATTGCAAAAAGTTCATGGCCCCACATTGACATCACAACTGACTTTTCTGAACTTTTTTTTAGGTAAAATACCATTTGTAAACGTTTCATTTATCAGTAGAAATATAATTTTGAAAGTATTTAATCACTTTTCTATTTTAACAGTGACTGTTTACTTGTGCCTGTAAAATCATGCATCAAGGTCAGTAACTTTTTATTTCCAGTGAGTTTCAAGGTCAACCTCCACATTTTCCAACCCTTGATGATTTTGTTATCTTTTTGGAAAGGCTGAACAAGAAAGGTGCTCGGATGAACCCCTTATATACGCAGAGAGACTTACAGGATATGCATGATGACTTTGTCAGTAATTTCATTGACCAATCAAATGATCCATTAGGGACATTTATCCAACAACATGCTGTTAGGTTGGGACTTAAGCAGCCAGGTATATTTTATCTGATATGATTTCATTGGTGAAGGAATTTGTTTTGATATGTGTAGATTACATTAGAACAATATTGTATGACAGCATGTACAAACTTATCAAAGGCAAGGATTGAATATTCAAAGTACTAACACACACCACTACTGAAACCCATGTTCACATTGATGTTTGACTATTTAAATCAGAGCATCATGATTCCAAATACCCCCTTCAGAGACATCCTGGATACGGGTCAGACTAATAATATAATAAGAAGATGTGGTATGATTTATTGAGACTCCTTACACCCTACAACTTCTTTGAAACTGTATGCCCATCAACAATGAGCAAAACCCATACGTGTAGTTGGCTTAAAAAAAGCCCACAACATGACAAAATGTAAATCTATTCAGACAAGAAAAACCATTGGCCTAGTTTATGATAAAAGAAACAAAAATATTATGAAAGATACCAAGCAATGACTATCACTGAATAAAAAGCTCCTGACTTTTGACAGGCACATATAGAATGTGGCTGGGTTAAACATATTTACAAACACTCAACCATGTCCTCTCAAACCTCAGGATTGAAGTGTTAAGCACAACATAACAACATATTGTAAAAATCAGGCTTCAGTTGTTTAATGCCAACTCAAACATAATTTTACCTTCAAAGCAGTTCAATACACCTGCCTGAATTTTCAACTTAGATAAACTGATTCATTATGGTCATGTATGTCAGTTGCACAATCCACTGAAATTTACCTCCATGACCGGTCAAAATAAGCATGCAATGACATGTGACTGTTATGCAATAGATGTGTCAGAATTAAGTATTGTTTTTAAATTCTGAAGTTTGGTGACCCCTGGATTAATGCAAATGCTTGAAAAATGTATCATCAAACTCCAAGAATTTTATTCATAAATATCTTGTAATACAGAAAAAATAAAACCATCATTACTTGACTAAACAGTTGTAATTAAAAACCTTCAATATTATTACACTTACAGTACTGCAAATTAAAATCCAAATTACCAGGCATGATCTGAAAATTCCAAGACTTTATAAGTTAAATACATATAAGATATAATTCACAAATAATTACATTTGTAGAAAGGGAGCACATTTGTAAGTAAGTAGCTAATTAGAATATTTTGTTTTTAATGTGGACAGGGTTTCCAGTTCCTTTAAATAACAGAGCATTGAACACAGCAAGAAATAATCCAAAACCTGTTGGAAATATGAATAATCCAGGACTAGCTAGAAATGTAAATAATCCTATTGACAATCCTGGACAGAAACCAGCAAACAACAACCGTGGTGGTAGGAGAAAAAAGGTATTATATATGTAGAAACTAAAGTAACATCATTCTGAAGGATGCTGTTTTCCATTAATTTCAAAATTTTCTATTCATAAATGTAAATACTCGCATGATTTTGCACATGGTGATTTTTAATATTTCAACTTTTACATATTTATATTCATAAAAGATGTGCAAGACTATATATTTTCCAAATTGATATCAACTTCATAAATAGTAACTTGCCTTGGTTACCGAATTTGGTCGTGTATTGTGTTTTATTTTTCCTCTCAAATTAAGATTGCCAGGTAGGGTATACAGACTTTTTTTCTAAATGCCTTTACATATTGAGCCGATTTTGAGTATGTGAGTCATCTATGATGAGTTACAGATCAAGTTTACGTTTGGTTCACACTGATTTTTGTTGAAACTACTGGCTTTGGACTTTGAAAATTTCAAGAAAATAGCAGTAATATACAGACTTTTTTCTCAACGCCTTCACATATTGAGCTGATTTTTAGTATGTGAGTCTACTATGATGAGTTACAGATCAAGTTTACGTTTGGTTCTTCTCCATTGATTTTTGCTGAAATTAGGGGCTTTGGACTTTGAATATTTCGTGAAAATGGTAGTTATACAGAGTTCATTTTCAAATTTTCACTTCTAAAAATGGCTTCAATTTTTATTGCGAACGGGGTCATTTGTGTCGTTCCGATACATCTAGTTTAAAAATCCAATATTAACTGATACTTATCAAAATCAAATGCTTCTTTACAAATTTCTCATTTCTTTTCATAGCATTGCACAACTCAAACTGGAATCCACTTGTTGACAGTGCTATGAAAAAAGTAAATAAGTTAGCTGGGAACAAGCTAAACATAAAGATGTATCGGTTATTCTGTATTTGTGTTTCATACTGCTGCATGTGTTTAATATTAGCTAAAGGTCCGTCAAACATAAATGTGATGAATATATCTCACAGTATTTCACTAAAGAAGGGAACTGTTTTAGTTTCAAAGTCGTATTCTTTAGTGATATCTATTAACCCTTTCACCAATAGCTGCCCTGACAGAAGGTACTCTTGAGACGATAGCTTCCCTGGCTATTGTGACACAAGTGGGAGAACTACTCGATAAAAAACTTATCTGTAGTTATTTATGTCTTTATTTTATTCACTTACACCACGGACACAGTTTTGATTATGTTTTAATATTTTTTTTGTCAGAAAAAAATCAAATCTGCTAATTTTCGGCATTGAAATACATAAAATTCACGAAATTCATCTTTTGGACCCAAAATCGAAGATTTTTAACCTAAAAGTTAGAAAATCTTTACGAGGTTGCATGGTTGTTCCAATTCCTTACATGGAATGATATCCATTCCAAGTGTTTCTGTACAAAAAACGACATTTTACATCAAAATAGAATACTAGTCTGGCTTCAATTCTTCCAAATTCTTTCAAAACAAATATTCCCTTATTTCAAATTCCAGTAAAATCTGTAAATTTCAGTTGATTTTGACACAGTTTTCATCAAAAGGAATCACCATGTTAATACTTTCAATCGGGCAATAAACAAAGAAAGATAACTTGTGTTCACAATATTTTTCAGCGGGAAATATAAAAGAGGTATGCTGATCCCGGTAAACAGGGACTCATTGTCAGCTGTCTTAAGTGTGAATCCCTGTAAACTGGGATTTGTCGGCGAAAGGGTAAAGTAGTGATTTTCCGCACACACTCACCATATTTGTTTGGTATTTACACATTCTATTCAGATATCAGGTTAAAGTCATATACAACTTTTTCAGTTATTTATCTTGTGATTTTGACTTATTTCAACACCAGTAAAGTATTCTTGAATCATTTACCAGCATTTTCAACTTCTAATTGATGATGGAAAACAGTGTTGTTTTCCGTGTAAATACCGCAAAACAATCACACATGCTTTTAAATTACCAGAGTTCCCATAGACTTTAACAAGTGAAAAAAAATTTTCCTGGTTTCTTGGTGGGCAAAAGGGGGTTGCGGACAATACCACATGTCCAGTGCGTACTTTACAAGTAAGGTATATATATATATATAATTTACATTTTGTGTATATATAAATGTTCTTACAGTTAGTGGTATAATTTTTTATGTGTAAAATTTAAAGTACTTTTCTATGCATTCTTTATTTAGGCAAGGCTATGTGATGACTGTGAAGAAAGAGAGGCAGAGGTATACTGTCCAGAATGTCAGAATGCTACTGGTGGTCAGGGCCTGTCTTTGTGTCAGAATTGTTCAAATACAGTTCACAGAGGTGCTGCTAGGAGAGGCCATCAGTTGCAAGGTATAAACTTGACAAAAGCGTAAACTTTTCAGTATAATTTCAATAAGAAGAATTTGGTTCAGTCATATATTTTTAAGTTTGCATACTAAATTTTAAAACTTGTTGTACCCTGCAAACAGATATGAGAACTGAGACATTCTAGTTTCACCATTATATATTGATTTTAAAACAGCTTATTCTGAAAATGAAATAGATTTGACAAGTTTTGAATAAAATTGTTAAAAGTTGTAGGGTGTAAAGGGGTAAGTTATAAATACCCTTACTTATCTATATATATATATCAGTACATTTTTGTAATAAGTTATTTCCTGTTTTTTCCGTATATATAAGGGCTATTCCATTAAAAAGAATGTACCAGGGTCGGACGGCAATTATAAAAAATCCTGTTGGTTGTTGATGTGTTGAAGCGTGTATGGCCAGTGGCCCTTGGTGTTTAGAGAAACGAAGTATTGTTGGTTGTGGTTTTCTTTGACAGTCATTTTTCGTGACTGTCGGTTTCAATGTGTAATTTTAAGTTTTTTATTATTATTTGTTTTTGCAAGGCCTTATATAACCGATTGTTTTTGTCTCCTACTCTTATCGTGATATTTTGGAAAACATAACTGTTCCCGTGACTTACGCAGCGACAGGCACAACGTTGTATTCTACCTATGGTACCAGTTCAGGAAGTGCAAGAGTTACTTCCCTTTAATGACAAGCACATGGCGAACGATGTCAAATTCTATTGAAAATAATATTCGGATGTTCAAATTAGCGGTGGTCCGAGGTCCGCGACCTTCCACTATTGCAATCGGACTTTCGTTTGGTTACTAGCTAGGCCCAACGGACCTTCGATTTGAAAGAAAACAAAAATTAACTTTGACGACCTTTTTAACCATCAGTATGGTCATTTTAAAGCCATATTACTATTGAGATCGTACACCCCTCCAGGGATTTTTCTAGCATTCCACAGGGTCCAAATACCGGTCCCATTCCTATTGGCAATGGCAAATACCCTACGTTTTTCCCCAATTTTCAATTTCATGAATTTGGGACCAAAACTTCAAAACGATCTCAAAATTTATTTTTATCTTTATTATTCATGACAGCGATGCTCAGTTTGTTCAACCGCTAGCTTTATACTGAAAATTGCCAACAAGTAATGTGTAAATACGAGTAAAATCATATCCGACTGACAAAAACAACATTGAAAAACAATGGATGCCATAAACCGGAAATGAAGACGATTACAATACCCGATTAGATTCCGGGGTCGGGTAAGGGTAATTCCAGGTTTGCCGATCAAATACAATAGAAAAAAATAATAATTCCAGGAAGGTGACAAAATACATCTATGATGATGAAATATAAACACTCCAATTGAAAACCAAAAGATATATGGAAAAGACAGAAAAAGTATGAAATATTTTATACAGAAACTCAAAATAACTTTTAGTTCACAAATTTTCATGTCAAAATCCAATGAAATGTGACAGTAATTTTCTTTATCATTAATAAATGTTGATATTACATGTAGATGTTTTTATAGAGTATACATATATCTACAATTCCAAGAGGTCATTTCTTCTCAATTTTGAACGGCCAGTAAAAATCTGGAAGTTTCTTACTTTATTTTTACAGAGCTAATATAATAGTGCAACTAGATATGATACATTTAAACAGCTTTGAATTTGAACTATTACTTTAATTGTATACTCGGGTATGAATTGAACAATATAAAATTAAAGAGATACAAATAGCCCTTTATATCATAGTAATAACCAAACATTGTAGCTCCTTGACCCTGTCCACCCCCTCTAAATTGTCCAGCAACTATAATGTTTAAATAACAATTCCTTTGGTTGTGGTAAATTAGAATAAAATAAGTTAGATATATTCCAGTTGGTTCTTGTATTATTATAAAACGACTTTCTGTTGGTTGGTGTTAAGATACATGGTACATTCCTCTTGGTCGTGGGGGTACTTAAAAATTGCCTTCCGACCCTAGTACCTCCTTTTTAATGGAATAGCCCTAACTTATAAATGGACTTAGTTTTTCTTCCAGTTAACATTACATACAGTCTGTAGTTAAAATTTTTAAAACATGTATTAGATTCATAAACCATTCTGGATTTTTACCAAACTTAAACAGAAGCTTCTTACAATCAAAAGATAGTATCTATAGGAAAATTTTTAATAATTTTTTCCCCATTTTTAGCTCACCTGGCCCGAAGGGCCAAGTGAGCTTTTCTCATCACTTGGCGTCCGTCGTCCGTCGTCGTCGTTAACTTTTTACATTTTGAACTTCTTCTAGAGAAGCACTGAATGGAATGAAACCAAACATTGCATGAATGTTCCTTATGAGGTGCTGACCAAGTGTTGTTACTTTGTAGCCGATCCATAATCCAAGATGGCCGCCAGCGGGGGACTTAGTTTAACATAGGACCCTATGGGAAATACATGAAAATGTCTTCTTTTAGAGAACCACTGAATGGAATGAAACAAAACATGGCATGAATGTTCCTTATGAGGTGCTGACCAAGTGTTGTTACTTTGCAGTCAGTCCATCATCCAAGATGGCCGCCAGCGGGTGACTTAGTTTAACATAGGACCCTATGGGAAATACATACAAATGTCTTCTTTTAGAGAACCAGTGAATGGAATGAAACCAAACATGGTATGAATGTTCCTTATGAGGTGCTGACCAAGTGTTGTTACTTTGTAGCCAATCCATCATCCAAGATGGCCGCCAGCGGGGGACTTAGTTTAACATAGGACCCTATGGGAAATACATACAAATGTCTTCTTTTAGAGAACCACTGAATGGAATGGAACCAAACATGGCATGAATGTTCCTTATGAGGTTCTGACCAAGTGTTGTTACTTTGCAGTCGGTCCATCATCCAAGATGGTCGCCAAGGGGGGACTTAGTTTAACATAGGACCCTAAGGGAATTACATACAAATGTCTTCTTTTAGAGAACCACTGAATGGAATGGAACCAAACATGGCATGAATGTTCCTTATGAGGTGTTGACCAAGTGTTGTTACTTTGCAGTTGGTCCATCATCCAAGATGGCCGCCAGTGGGGGACTTAGTTTAACATAGGACCCTACGGGAAATACATACAAATGTCTTCTTTTAGAGAGCCAGTTAATGGAATGGAACCTAACATGGCATGAATGTTCCTTATGAGGTGCTGACCAAGTGTTGTTACTTGACAGTGGGTCCATCATCCAAGAGGGCTGCCAGGGGGGGGGCTTAGTTTAACATAGGACCCTTTGGGAATTACATACAAATGTCTTCTTTTAGAGAATCACTGAATGGAATGAAACCAAACATGGCATGAATGTTCCTTATGAGGTGCTGACAAAGTGTTGTTACATTGCAGCGGATCCATCATCCAAGATGGCCGCCAGAGGGGACTTAGTTTAACATAGGACCCTATGGGAAATACATACAAATGTCTTCTTTTCGAGTACCACTGAATGGAATGAAACCAAACATGGCATGAATGTTCCTTATGAGGTGCTGACCAAGTGTTGCTTCTTTGTTGCCGATTTACTGTTCAAGATGGCCACCAGGATATTTTATTAAATAATGGGGACCAATATTAAACCAAATTTGGCCTCAATCATTAATTGGGTATCTGTTATGATTTTTATCTATCTTTACATGATTTCTAAAACCAAAGTAGAGTCAGGTGAGCGACACAGGCTCTTGAGAGCCTCTAGTTGTTGAGCCTGTGACTAGCAGCAAAAGTAGGCGAGACACTGGGTTCCATGGAACCCTTTCGATTTTTTAATATAGATTAGACCGTTGGTTTTCCTGTTTGAATGGTTTTACACTAGTCATTTTTGGGGCCCTTTATAGCTTGCTGTTTGGTGTGAGCCAAGGCTCCGTGTTGAAGACCGTACTTTGACCTATAATGGTTTACTTTTACAAATTGTGACTTGGATGGAGAGTTGTCCCATTGGCACTCATACCACATCTTCTTATATCTATTTTTAAAAATTTTCAGACATTGATGTTGCACCCAGAGTGAACAAACCTTATGTACCCCATGTAAGTATATTTTATATGGTAAATGTATAATACAAAAAATTTGAACCTTATACTGAAACAGGACTTTATGGCAGGTTATAGAACAAAATAAATGTATGTTACTTGTTCTTATTTCTTAAACTAATTAAGAGAACATATTTGAGTATACTGATGGGGTGTTTTAATTTACCATGTGTGTCTAAAGGTGTTTCATATCCATTGTCTATACAACAGGACGATCAGTTACAAGATGTCTTAATGAGAAATTAAATGTATTGAGGAAATTTGTGTAAGAATGTCAAATTTTGTTTACTGTTGCAGTCTGCAGTCAGACATGATGTTGTGCTGTATTGTTGTTATTGTAGATTTTTATAAACATGAGACACATCAATTTTGAAATTTAGATTTAATACACTGTAAATTATACACTTGCCTTTATTCATTTTATATTTTCTCTCTTTTAAAACAGTGGTAAAATTTCGATTATTATGTAGAAACAATTAATCTGTGGTAGCTTTATTTCTAAATTTTTTTGTTTACTCCAATCACATAAATGTGGCTCCAACATGGTAAAATTTTACCTGGCGACCTTGTGGGGTTTAGTGAGTGGCCTTGCCACCTGACCTCTCATTTACATGTACCTGTGACCTTTAAAAATGTTCAAAACCAAAAATCAGATCAGTTTAAAACTTCAGTTTGCTTAAAAGTGACCTGGTGACCTGAGGCAATTTTTAAATGTGACCTAAGGGTACTTAACTGAAACCCCATAATGTAATACCACTAAAACTGATTTTTCTCAATATATTTTGTTCACAGTTATTGTCAGGTACAAGTATTCCTCTTCATCTTTGACTGATTTATTTTTAGGCATTTAAAGCTCCATTTTCCATACTGTTAGCATTGTACAGGTATGTAGATATATATAAAGATAAAATATACTTTTTCACTTTTTTGGTCTTTTGGAAAATGTTGTTTGTGCTGAATTTAGACCCCTCTACCAAGAAATTTGTTTTACATGCACACATATAAAAATTGTGGTTTTTATCCAACACAATCATAGGTTTGAACGTTGTTTTCAATTTAGACTTGGATATATATAAAGATGATATAGAATAAAACAAGTTTTTCATTTCTTTTGATACATCTGATTTCAAATATTCTTCTGGACCGTTCGTGGTCATGGGAAAATGGTTATTTCTAGAAAATTCATTTCAAACTTGTGAATGAAAAAGGTTAATGAGCATTTAAAAAATACTTGTGAAAATTCCCATTTAGTGGATTATTTGATTGCTTCCATATTAACTTTCATCTGAAGATTTTATATGGACTAGAATATGTGAAGGAGGAGGAAAAACAAGGGTTGATTTAGGCTTACCAAGCTTGTTTTTGGTTTTATAGACTTTGTTTATATAGACATATTTAGCAAGGGGTCTTGACTTATTGATTATCTGATATTTAAAATTATGGCTGTCTGATTATTCTATTTGATGATACCGACTGTGCAAGACCCTCATGGGTAGTCAAGTTCATTAAAAAAAAAAACCTCCTCGTATTTGATGATAATTTATTTCTCTGAAATTACACCATGAAACACATATATATTCTCCTTATTTTATATAATAAATAATTATCCCTCTATTTTATGATATAGTGGTATGACTGAGACACCACGTGTGTTGAGTATGACGGAGGATCAGATCAAGAACAGGGGTCAGCCATTAACTGATACAGATCTTAGTGATAAACAGAATGGTAGGAAACTAATTTTATATTATTCTTTGTTAATTGTTTCTTTTTGAATACATAACATGTGTATTGATTTTTCTTTACTTTTCATTTGTTGAAATTCAGTTTTGACATTATTATAAGTTACCAAAGTGTTCTATAATTTTTCAGTTGCACGCTATCGTATTATAAGTCAACACATTATGTATGCTTAGCTGAAGATCTAAAAATAACAAGAAACCAAATCTAAAACATTTATGAAGAACATTAATTAGACCCAAACAATTACTGTTGAATAGAAATGGACAGACACCACGCAACAGTTTAAATTTAAATGGTTGAATTAAATGTGTATTGGTCAATGTGATATTTAATTGTTTTGTTTGTTACGTTTCACATTTTCAATCTAGAAGCAGAAAGCATTTTAAGATATACTGTGGATACTGTGGATTCATGTATTTTCAAAAATTGAGTAAAATTTGCATTTTTGTGGATATTTTATTTTGGGGATTTGACTAAGTACTTATCTGAACGTTTATATTAGTGGTTCTGCTTTACCAACGAAATCCACAAAAATTGATATCCCACGAATAATAATAAATCAACAGTAGATGTCTTATATTGATTTTTTAGGGAGATATGTGGGAGGATTTGAATGTATAGAGAACTGTTTGATAGCAAAACATTTTGTTCAGAGAGAAGATTCAGCTAATCCCACGTAAGTTGTTTGTAATGTTTGAAATAAAAGATATTGGGACATCTGCGATATTTTTATATTATTTCACAGTAAAATGGTGTCCTCCTTTAACAGGACTTTTTTTAGATTTACAAAACTCTGCAATTGGAGCTACTGGACAAATTTAGACTAACATTAAGTTAAAAAGTCACAAATAATTTTGATTAGTTTCTTTATTTGAAAACTTGATAGGTTTATTTAAGGCATTGATTTATTTCATTAATACACGAAGGATTACAGGATACTACCAAACTATAGGATTTAAGAAGTCAAGCACATGAACACTTATTGTCAACTTTGGTCTGACAATGCATGGAATCACTGTACAACACACTATAACATCAGAAGTGTTGAGAGAGACATAATACTGGTCTTGAGCAGAAAAGAACAGACCATAAATAATCAAGTTTACAACTGCCCTGATAAATGATATATACATTAAAGACTTTTGTCTTGCAGTCAGCAAACTATTGTACAAATAATCTGTTAACCTGCCTCCATGTTAAGTGTGCGACAATTTTATAATATTTGCATCATAGTTAATTTTTGGGTCCAAAGGTTGCGAAGTAAAAAAACTAAACTTAAAAGTGTCAAAATTAAATTGCAGGATAAAATGGGTGTATGCAATTTGCCAGATAATATAAAATTGTATTTGTTCTCGGTGTGCCTCACTTTTCGTTCTGTTTCTGAAACTTGAACAAATAAATAATACATTTTCCTGCAATGTAAATATATTGAATATTTTTTTATTTTATTTAAGATATGCTTTAACAGAATCAGGACATCAGTTGGCTACAAAGTTGTTTAGATATCAACAGTCTGTACAGAGATTCTTAAGGTCACATGACTTCCCAACAGTTCCACATGATGCTAGGTATTATTCAGATCTTGTGTAACACTCACTTTTAATCACTCATATATATAAACATTATCTTATACATTGTGACTTGGATGGAGAGTTGTCTCATTGGCACTCATACCACATCTTCTTATTTCTATGTATACATTTAGTTATGGTATTGATTTCATTCGGTAACGATATTTACTTAATTTTTTATTGAATAAACAGTTTAATGGTATGGTCCAATATGAAAAACAACAAGTTATAACCTATAATTATTGCAGTTAAGCACTAATTTGTTTCTGCCTGCAGTTCTACAAAGGGATATTTGATTTTGGTTCATATCCATTTATAAGTTTCTATCATTCTATTAGATAGGCTAACACCATGTGTTACATAGCTCTGCTGAAACTACATTGGTGCCATTCGTAAGCTCATGATTCACTGAACATATAGTTTTTATGCCCCTGCTGCAGTGGAGAGGGCACTAAGTGTTACAACAACATGTTTCTATATCGGTCTGTACGTCTTGTCCGTCTGTATGTATGTAAATCCCAAATTGGTTTCTGTTCTTTAACTTTTGTTTTCCTCGACCAAATGTTATGAAACTTATACAAAATGCTTATTACCACAAAACACAGATCAAGTTTGAATTTGGGTGGTGTCACTTTTACCGTTCTAGAGTTATGCCCCTTTACAAATGGAAAACTTGCTGAATTATTTGTTCCTGTTTTCTAACTTAAGTTTGCATCGACTAAATGTTATGAAACTTATACACAATGCTTATCACCACAAAACTCAGATTAAGTTCAAATTTGGATGGCGTCACTTTTACCATTCTTGAGTTATATCCCTTTATAATGTTATATGCAAGGGGAAGCACCATCTGTGTCCCATGGACACATTCTCCATTTATTCATGGTATTAACTTTATAATCTTGTTTTAATTTCCAAACTGGTCCTGCTTTCATCAGATCTAAAGGAATTTACAACAATATGTTTCTACATTGTATGTCAGTAAAAAGGTGAAGATTAATTAGAAATAACCAGAGTTTTAATCTTAAATTTTTAGTACAGTTTGTGGCACAAGAAAAGTATGTTTGATTATAGATGAGCAGGAGAGAGACAAAGGCAGGTTTCTACAGCTAGCAGACCAATGGGGAATAGATGCTCAAGTAAGGTCCCTGCCTGCTGGGGACTACATTTGGATATTGACCCCTCCTTTACAAGGACCAGATGTAAAATATGATCAAAGAAAACCTTCATTAGAAAAGGTATTAGGTATTTTTGAAATCAAGTTAAATTGTTTTTAGATTCATAGTGTCAAATATTCATGTACTGCCACTAGTTGAAATGAATTTGATTTGTTTTCACAATAATAACGAATCCACAGTATATAATTACATAGTGGCCAGTTCTATTTATAGGAATTAAAAAAGGCGTGTGGGGGTATTCTTCATTTGAGACAGCTACCAAACAATAATCAAACAGTTGAACATGGAACTAATTTATTGGGCTGCTATAAGTTCATCAGTTTCAACTTAAATTATGAATATAATGTGAATTCTTTATGTGTTATGGTGTTTGATAAATTCATGGTTATCTTTGAAGTATGATTTTAAGAATTAAAATAGTGGAACAACTTTGATTGAACTAAGAAGGAGAACCATGAAATAACAATTTTATCCTCTTGACAACAAAAATAATTCATATCAATGCATTTTTTACATTGACAAATATGAAATGAAAACTAAATTACTTTGTTTATGAAATTTCTACATACATAGCAGCAATCGTGTATATGATTTTTTCCCCAGGTACTTCCATTTATTGTTGAAAGAAAAGGATGGGAAGATTTAGATGACAGTGTTAGAACTAAAAGATTTCATAAACAAGTTTTGAGAATGTTGGTAAGAATTGACTTTAACTCTCAGAATATAATTCATGAAGTTTTATTACCTTAATAGAAGTTGAGGTTATATTACAATAACCTTGTCTTTATGTCTGCAAGATAGTGTCCATCTGTTTAGCCTACAAATATTTTCCTGGAACTTTTCTCAGAAACTACTTAATAACAGAATGACTTCACAATTGGTCAGTAGCTTAATAGTGACGAGTTGTAACATGTGGGCACTTTAAAAATATGCCAAATACCTGTTTGTAGATACTTTGAATTTTTCAATATGTAACCTAAAATGTTTTCATCACATATTTCTATACAGTACTACTGAATTGCAATAGAATATTAATCTATGAATGTTTCAGGGTTGTGGTTTACCATATTGTTTTTATCTGATGGAGGGAAGTATATCATCACTGAGGTACAGAACAGACCAACAACAACAAAAATTAAAGGTAGGTATTGATACTCTTATTAATTCTAGTGGATGGTGGTAATTACATTTTGAAATATAAGTCTGTACGCCTGCTTTTTTGGATGATATACATACATAAGTTACATCTTCTGACATCAGACTCAGACTTCTCTTGAACTGAATTTTAATGTGCGTATTGTTATGCGTTTACTTTTCTACATTGGCTAGAGGTATAGGGGGAGGGTTGAGATCTCATCAACATGTTTAACCCCGCCACATTTTTGCGCCTGTCCCAAGTCAGGAGCCTCTAGCCTTTGTTAGTCTTGTATTATTTTTAATTTTAGTTTTTTTGTGTACAATTTGGAGTTTAGTATGGCGTTCATTATCACTGAACTAGTATATATATTTGTTTTGGGGCCAGCTGAAGGATGCCTCCGGGTGCGGGAATTTCTCGCTGCATTGAAGACCTGTTGGTGACCTTCTGCTGTTGTCTGTTCTATGGTCGGGTTGTTGTCTCTTTGACACATTCCCCATTTCCATTCTCAATTATACATGTGATGGACTGTGAAACTCAGATCAGGAGAATGGAAAGTTTTGGTCAGGAGTTTAGACCTCAGATCAGGAGGTTTTTTATCTACATAAGTTTTGTCATAAATGTAACCATCTGGTGTAAAAATTGTCTTTTAAGGATGTCATGTCAGGTTTAGGAATTTTTGTCAGATGTTCAGACTCCTTGGGTTTTTTCCTACGATACAGGGTAAAATATTTTGCCCCATATCACCCATATCACCCCCCTTTTCTTTTCATATAATACTTAAATAGCTCATAAAAGGTCATTTTCCAAAATTTAAGTAGATTCTAGATTTTCTTTCTTATGATTTGAGACCCAAACAATGCCAATGCTAAATATACACAGGAAAAGTCTGTGTCAGCCTTTTCCTGCCATTTTTGTCGATCCTGCGACTTTTGTCGCAGAAAGCTCGACATAGGGATAGTGATCCGGCAGCGGCGTTTGCTAACTTCTTAAAAGCTTTATATTTTACAGTGGCGGATCCAGAGGGGGGCGTAGAGGGCGTACGCCCCCCTTTGCTTGCACTTTTTTTTTTTTTTGTTAAATGATTAATCAGACTAGACTTCGTGAAATTTGCCATTTCCCGTGTATTTAATTTTTATGCGACAATTCTTTACTTATAAAGATATTTTTCGCTCGTATTTACTGTAATATATTATTGATTATGTCAAAGTCATGTGATTCTCTACGGTGGAGTTGACCAGTTCGTCGAAAAAAGCGTCACTCAGTCATTTTGAAATTCATATTACAGTAACACATTGCTTAGGCTGAGGATGACAAGCATGACGCCTTCAAAGCGACAAAGTATTGAGCAAGAATGTATTGACTTCTATTTCACAATTCCACCCAACAGAAAGTAATACTCTATTACACTCTCATGAAAAAAAAAGTTCCACAGCAATATTATTTACCTACGAAAACATGTTTAACCCCACAGGCCCCAGCCCATTAATAACCTGGCTGAATAGTGATCCCCAGTCAGTAAGCTCTAGATATAGATTTAAAGCTAAGGTACAGACCATTTGATCTGAGGGGGCAGTCTGAGATATTTTAGAGAAAAAATTCTTACCCTGATTTTTGCCTTAAACAAAAATTCTGGCCGTATCTGAATTGAAAACAATAATCTTGTCCACTTTTTTGCTATTAGAAAAAAATATTTTCAACAGAATTATTTAGCATTAAATGAACATGATGAATAAAAAACGGGCGTATTTTTTTTTTTTTTGGGGGGGGGGGGGGGGGAGGGTGGGTTGCATGTAAATCCCATATCTGACCGGAATGTCTGTTTCGCCGAACTGATATACTGAATACTTTTTTCAAGGCCCGACTGCAACCTGCCTGCTGGGTGTGGCCTATATGTCTCCATGTGTCGACCGTCATTCACAACTTCATTGTCATTTCCGACTAATTCGTAGCCTTTGGTTGATTTGGAACCCCTCACTTCCCTTGTTGGGTAAAACATTTCAACCAAACATTTGGATGAAAATTGCTTGTCTTTCTTCGTGTCGGTCGTATTGTAAATTTCATTGAATAGCCGTATATCTTGTTTACAACAAGAAATCTGTGAGGTTATGCTAACTAACCATACAACAAACGATAATTTTCCATGTCCATTTTTTACTGACAAATCCCACATCAAATATATTAATTAGTACATAGCTTTGGATCCATCCAATCATTTCATAATAGACAATTGATGGAGAGAATACGGCACCAAAAATGTCCAACCCCTACACTTTAGCTACAAAATGCATTTTACATATTTCATGTTTTTTAGCCAAAAAAAGGTCAAAAAAAAATTCTTTAATACTACGCCCCCTCTTTCCAAAATCCTGGATCCGCCCTTGTTTTAGAAGGTGGAAGACCTGGATGCTTCATACTTTGTATATAGATGCCTTATGTGACGAAGTTTCCGTCTGTTGACCTCATTTTCACGAAGTCTGTTTCTTAGAAACTATAAGCAATAGGTCAACTATATTTAGTGTATTGAATGATTGTAAGGTGTACATGTATTTCTCGTTTGGTTTATATGACCTTGACTTCATTTTCTTGGATCATGTTAAGTTTATGTCATAGTTGTAGTAAAGCTTTCATTTAGGACTATCAACATAATATCAATGGTTAGTAAAGAAGGTGAGACATTTCAGCGTGTGCACTCTTGTTTAAAAATTAAATATCTTGAAAAGGAGTTCCATAACCTATCATTATTTTTAGCTTATTTTGTACCTAAACTAGTGATCTTCTTGAGCATGCTGAAGGTCCTTTAATGTCCGCAATAGGAGACCCCTGGAAACGAGAGTATTGTACTTGCGTTGGGAGGTTCACAAGTATTGATATTATATTCTGTTGTAAACAAAATTTTGATAGGTCTGACACAAATATATATGATACACGACATTGGAACTGAAATAATTTTCAACAGTCTTGTTGATATAATACATACAGATGACTTCTGAAAACTAAATGTCAATGTAAACAATTATAAAACTTTCATTAATGCAAGTGTCAAATATACCTAAAAGTTGATGTAAAACAAGGAAAATCAAGAAATAAAAAATAATATCCAAATAAACTTGTACATTATGATGTGAATTCTCAAGTATGTACAAAATTTTAATTTTGCAATTTACTTTATATGGAAATATGATATTGCAAGCAGGTCATGGTGTCCAATGGACATATATTTTTATTATAGACTGATTGAGTTTTAACATTTGATCTGTTTTAGGATGAGCTTGAGAATATTTTTCTGCACAATGGATTTTACATTAACTACACAGCGTCCTGGTTTAAGTCAGCAACTTGGCTTAAATGGTTTACAGTACTGTTATCTGCTGCAGTGAATAAAGGTAATGGTTACTTAATTTTCAAGTTCAAAGATTTAAAGAGAATATTGATTGAACAATTTACTCTGTATGTCTGTCAGTCTGTGTGTGTGTCTAGTTGGATGGATGGATTGACACTTGATAGTACCCATGTATGTTCTTTCGCACCACTATTTTTTCCATCAATATTAATTTTTTGTATTTCCCATAGCAAAAGTTGACCATTTCTACATATGGGGAACTTTTCATTGGAGCTCTCCCTATACCATGTATACAGAACATAGGAATGGATAAAACAAATTAGTAACCTCACACCATGCCAATTTATTCATTGCCTTTGAAAGTGTTGTAGTGAAATATTATAGTTACCTTCTTTTCTTAGGATTGTTCAGAGATCATTTCCAGATGTATAATGAGTTTGTAAGAAGAGCTAATGTACAACCTAAATCAACAGTTATAACACAGACCGACTTCAGACAGACAACAAATACAGTGTGGTCTGATCAACAATTTATTGACAACATATTCAGGTATTTGTTGTGTTTTCAAATCAATTTTTGTCTCGCCTTGACGGAGTCAAAATGTGATTAGGTCTAGTTTATGGTGAACCACAAGTGGTAGGTCAATGATATTTGGTATGCAGTTGTATTAGCATTGGCACATCTTATTTCCATGGAGATGATTTGGCCCTGCCCCCTCAGTCATGGTCTATTGACTGTGAAACTTTTGCTTAGTTTACATGTATTAGTTTGTGATTAGGTCAGTTTATAGTGGACCACTAGTGGTAGGTCAATGATATTTGGTATGCAGTTGTATTAGCATTGGCACATCTCATTTCCATGGAGATGATTTGGCCCTGCCCCCTCAGTCATGGTCTATTGACTTTGAAACATTTGCTTAGTTTACATGTATTAGTTTGTGATTAGGTCAGTTTATAGGGAACCACTAGTGGTAGGTCAATGATATTTGGTGTGCAGTTGTATAAGCATTGGTATATCTCATTTCCATGGAGATATTTGGCTCCGCCCCCTTAATCATGGTCTATTGACTTTGAAAATTTTGCTTAGTTTACATGTATTAGTTTGTGATTAAGTCAGTTCAAGGGGAACCATTAGTGGTAGGCCAATGATAATTGGTGTTCAGTTGTATAAGCATTAGCACATCTCATTTCCATGAAGAATAGTTGGCCCGGCCTCCTCAGTCATGGCCTAATGACTTTGAAACTTTTGCTTAGTTTACATGTATTAGTTTTTGATTAGATCAGTTTAAGATGAACTGCTTATGTTAAGTCAATGATATTTGGTATGCAAATTTATTGGCATTTGCAAGTATTGTTTCCATGGATATTATATAGCCCCACCCTCTCATCATGGTTCATTGACTTTGAAACTTTTACATAGTTTACAAGTTAATGTTTGTGTTTAGGTCTGTTTAAAGGGAACGACTTATAATAAGTCAATGGTATTTGGTATGCAGTTGTATTAGCATTGGCACATTTCATTTCCATGGAGATTGTTTAGCCATGTACCTTCAGTCATGGTTCATCGACTTTGAATATTTGCATAACTTACATGTTAAAGTATTGCTATTTTAATTTGAACATTTGCATTATCAAAATTACAAAAAGGCGAGACATATCTCTGTGATAACAGTTTATATATATTGTTAACTTATAAGAAAGAAAAAGTTTTAGCCAAAGGCTATTCCAGAAAAGTTTATAAAAGGGTGAAAAAGTACAGTCCATATGATTTTTATTCATGGCTGTAAAGGGTAAAAATCAATTTGATTATCTAATCATCATTTTTTTTGGTGAACCAACGCTTGTGTGAATCATTTAGATAAGACCCTGAAGTGGATACCTTGTTTTTTTTTGTCAATTATTTTAACCTGTAGTATTTGTTCACCATTGTTGTATTTACAACTTCAGCTCCAATTCCTCTGAAATGTGGTCAGTTTAATTTTGGTCAGTTTTCCTTTCAAATTTATTTGGATTTTTGCTTCAGCATTTCAATTAACATTAAAACTTATAAGAAAGAATGGAATATGAACCATAAAGTTCCTCTTGCATATTGTACATTATAGAGAAAGTAGAGGTTTACAGACAACAGTGGATAGTGTGAAAGAAGAACTCCACACATCAACATGTAAACAACTGTTAATACTGCAGGGGTTAGAGGCGTATAACAAGGTGAGTGTACACACCAACATATACACACAAACATACACACACCAACATGTAAACAACTGTTAATACTGCAGGGGTTAGAGGCCTATAACAAGGTGAGTACACACCAACATATAAACAACTGTTAATACTGCAGGGGTTGGAGGCCTATAACAAGGTGAGTGTCCGCACCAACATATAAACAACTGTTAATACTGCAGGGGTTGGAAGCCTATAACAAGGTGAGTGTACACACCAACATGTAAACAACTGTTAATACTGCAGGGGTTAGAGGCCTATAACAAGGTGAGTGTACACACCAGCATATAAACAACTGTTAATACTGCAGGGGTTAGAGGCCTATAACAAGGTGAGTGTACAGACCAACATGTAAACAACTGTTAATACTGCAGGGGTTAGAGGTGTATAACAAGGTGAGTGTACACATCAACATATACACACCAAGATATACAACCCAACATTTAACCAACTGTTAATACTGCAGAGATTAGAGGCCTATAACAAGGTGAGTGTACACACCAACATATAAACAACTGTTAATACTGCAGGGGTTAGAGGCCTATAACAAGGTGAGTGTACACACCAACATGTAAACAACTGTTAATACTGCAGGGGTTAGAGTTGTATAACAAGGTGAGTGTACACACCAACATACACACACCAACATGGAAAAAACTGTTAATATTGCAGGGGTTAAATTGCTTTTAACAAGGTAAGTGTTTAATCATTACAGACCTATTGCATTTTTGAAATCTGTCAGATACTGCCTGCTTGCCAATATGTTGAATTATTCAATATATTCATTTATCTTTTTGCCAAACATTCTCCAAAACTTCTTAGCAGAATGAATTCATATAAGCTACGTACCTCAATAGTGATGAGATAAATAGGCCCTTTCACGGTTATTGCAGCCATATTGAATAGGTGCAGATTTTCATAATGGAAGTGAAAATGCTTTGAAAAACAAAGGAAAACATTTATACAGAACAGTTGCTTGGAAACATGCATAGGTTTTCTCTTCCTTTCTTACTATTTCACACTCCATCCATAAAGTATGCCCCTTATTCAATATGGCTGCAATAACAAGTGGCCTATTGTATGTGCTTTTGGACCTGTCTGACACCTTCTTCCTGCTTTCAGACAATCAGAATTACGAGATGGGGTATGCTTAGCAAGAAAATGCATCATGCCGTGCCTTCTTGTTTTTGTTGCCTTATTGTTTTTCATAAGATTTTTTGGGGATTTTCGTATGATTTATATCCTTTCTCTTCCTTTGAATACTGACTGATTATTGTGTTGCATGGATACCACATTTATTGTTTCTTCAAGTTTAATGCATTAACTTATATTTTTTAAATTTGATTATTTAAAAAAACAAATAAGGTTAATGTTAGGGATCATAGATTTATTCTTACGAGGAAGCTCCGAGCATGCTCGGAGGATGCTCAGAGCTTTTTAAGTAGGCTCATCTCTGCAGTTTATGTGACAATGATTATCATGATCCATTAAGATGTCAATCAAATCTACACCACTTCTATGATAAGGAAAGTAGAGCATTATAGAGGAAGCTCAATTAACACCTGTGTAAACATCTGGTCTATTCAAATACATTTTGCATGAAATTTTACAAAACTTTAAAATAGATGAGAAATTCTGCAATAGTACTGTACAATGCTTGGAAAGAAATATCAAGTCTACACAGAAAGAAAATGTTTTTCATTTTCTTAATAATTATCCTTTTTCAAAAATACAAAAAAATACTCAAATTTTATACTTAAAATATAAATAAATTTAAAATTTATACTATATAAAATGAAATATAAAAGTCATCAAAGACACAAACTATGGTTATTAATTAATAACCATACTACCAAAACATAGTACATTCAGTTTCATGCAAAAAAGTGTTGATTTTTGTTTATATTCCATTTAATTTGACAGTTGTTGGAAATTGACCCTCCATTTCATTGCAGAAAAGTGTTTTTGAGACCTGATGTATCTTGGGTGTTTCAAAGCAATACAAAAAAAATATTTGGTGTTCTATAAAATATTTTGGTAATTTTAGGGGACATGGCTACTAAAACTTGAAAACGGGAAAAAAGGGGGGGATAATTTGATTGGCTTACTTCTGGTGATGTTTACTTTCTTATATGTACTGAAAAGTTATGTTGTATTAATACTATAGTACAGAACAGGAAAAAACTTTACTCTTGTCAAGTATTTCTTTATTTAAATCATTGATAAATTCTATGCTTTTTTTTTTTAAATACCAATTAAACAAAGACTGATAGGGGGAAAACAATTTTATGTTAGATTTTCACTGAAGTACAGGACAGGATAAAACTTTACTCATGCCAAGTATTTTCTTATTTAAAACAAAGCCAAATCAGCACAATTTAAAAAAAAAATGTCAATTAAAGAGAGGCGTACTAGAGGGAAAACAATGGTGGTATTACCCCTCAAATTTTCATAAAGTAGCCATAATTTTCTATAAAAGAACAAAGTTTGCTATTTTATATAAAAAAAAAAACATATTACCATTGTTTAGTTAGGGGCATTTCTTGAACAAGTAATTTTCAAAATCACCTATACAAATTATGTTGAAAACGAGGTTGTTTCAAATATTACTTCTATATCATGAATAAGTAAATTCTGTTAATATTATTTGTATAGGTGTCCATTCATACAGGTTTTACTAGCTTTAACAAATTTTCACAGACATCTGGTTATTTTTTCCATGCAATATAAAACTATTTAAACCCTCCTGAAACACTAATTGCCTTTCTGATGCCACACTTCTTGGTCAAAGATTGGTCTCTTGGGGCTATCAAAATATCACTTTCCCTTAAAATCTTAGAGATAGACAAATCTAAATAGATAGAACCTTGTGATTTAATTAAGACTTGAAGTTATTTATAATTTGTAATCTTTATCAAAAACAATTACATATGTTCCTTAAATAATTGTAAGTACTAAGTTTTTCAAAGATGTATGAAATAGTTTATAAAAGTAATATTTTTGTCATTATTTTTACAGTTACCTTTCAATACTCATCTCAAGTTGGATAAATACTTAATTTTACATAATGAAATGATATAAAAATTATTAAAAACTATGTATACATTTAGTCCACTTTTGACATTTAAAATAACTATTGAGTTTTTATTAAATAATTTATAAAAACAAAAAAACCTGTTAATATAAGTAACTAAAAAAAATAACTTGTTTAGTATCGCCCCCTCACTGTTGTTTGTGTCTTGATAACTTTTGTGTAGCATATTATATAATATTTACTTTATTTAAATCATATCATCTTATTATAAAATTTGAGAATTTTTTATCATAAAAAAGGAGTGATTATTAAATATAATATTTATATATTTATATGACTTTCACTTTTAGTGGAGACATGAGATTTCTTTCCAAGCATTAATACGCAGTACTGTTGAAGAATTTCTAATCTTATAATTTTATAGTTTTGTAAAATTTCATGCAAAATGTATTTGAATAGACCAGATGTTTACACAGGTATTAATTGAGCTTCCTCTATAATGCTCTACTTTCCTTATTATAGAAGTTGTGTAGATTTGATTGACATCTTAATGGATCATGATAATTATTGTCACATAAACTGCAGAGAAGAGCCTACTAAAAAAGCTCCGAGCATCCTCCGAGCATGCTTGGAGCTTCCTCGTCAGAATAAATCTATGATCCCTTAGAGGGGATAGACTTTAATCTTCCATTGATATATTGGAAGTTTGGAATATAAGCTTGCTCTTTAATTTTCTGTTATTTCGAAAGCCAAGCTGGTTGGTTGGTTATGTTTTTATTTTAAGCAATAAGAAAGTAAACGATGTAACAATATTGAGCAAGAGGTATTTCCATGCTTCCTAAGAATATAGAACGTATAGGCAGAGATTCCTAAGAATATGCTACATCACTTGAACTATGTAGGTAAAATGTATATTCATCTAATCTACATAGTTCCAAAGTAAAGACATGCTTACAATAAGCATACACTATCATGGCGTGTGTAGATAAAGCTTGAGTCAAAACAATCTTATCATATTTTATAGACACTGGTTTCCAGATTTTTAATGATTTATGAATGTTATTTTTTAAATAATTGATATATCATTACAGAAAAGACAGACTTTACAGAATAAATGTTTGGTAGATACGTGTGATGATCTCAAAAATACAGAAGGTAAGCTGATATTTGATTTATAAGCCTGAAATGTAGACACTAACACTGACGGAATCAATTAGTATGTGACATTTTTACACCTGAGTTCACTAAATTTTCTTAATTTTTAAATGCCAGTTTACCACACACACATGTATATGAGAACTGAAATGTTGACAGTGTAGAACTGTCATGAAATAGAAGTTCCTACATAATCTAAGTTCCAAGTGGAAGAAATATTCTGTAATATTACAGTATTTTTATGCCCCCGCCGTAGCGAAAATTTTTAGTTTCCATTCTGTAACTAAAGTTTGCCCCAACCAAACATTATGAAACCTATACACAATATTCATTACCACAAAACAAAGATCAAGTACAATTTTTTTGTTTCCGTTTTCTAACTTTAGTTTGCCTCAACCAAATGTTATGAAACTTATACACAATGCTTATTACTACATAATACAGATTTAGTACAAAATTTGGTGGCGACACTTTTACCATTCTTTAGTTATGTCCCTTTATAAACATAAAAATTGCTGAATTTTTCGTTTCCATTCTCTAACTTTAGTTTGTCTCAACCAAATGTTATAAAACTTATACACAACCGTTCTAGAGTTTTGCGTGTTTACAAATAGAAAAACTGCTGAATTTTGAGTTTCTGTTCTCTACTTAAGTTAGCCTCAACCAAATGTTATGAGACTTACACACAAAGCTTATTACCACAAAACTCAGATCAAGTTCAAATTTGGGTAGCGTCACTTTTACCGTTCTTCAGTTATGTCCCTTTATAACTATATGATATGCAAGCGGGGGCATCATCTGTGTCCACATGTGGACACTAACCACATTTATTTCCTTACTGAATAAAGGGTATAGAATATTTGTACCAGCAGGAACAGATATTATGGCATTATTTATAACAAAGTCTCATGAGGAACTTTTGTTAGGTGGAACAAATATACACCGACAGAACCAGTGTCTGAGGAAAATACAGTGGTAGTATCCAATTATAGTGGAATACAAACTTCCATTTCATGATTTACAGAAGAGTTCTCAGCATGATATCAGCAGAAATGATTATTTTTTTCAGAACTTTCATGTCACTGTAGTTGGCAATACAAGGTTTATTATTGACATATAGGTAGTCAAAATTGAAAATAAATATATCCTACACTTTCACCAAGTTTCAACAAATAAGCAGTGTAAGATTTCCAAGAATCGTAGATTTACTTCTAACAAATCATAGACAGTTACTTGTGGTAACTTAAAGGAAATAAAAGGTGACTGAACAGTGCTTCTGACTGCAGATTCAAAAATGCTGTTGTATGTTGTAAACATTATGTAAATTTACTGTTTGGAAAGAAAAAAAAACTTCTTTTATCAGTTTAGGTTTTGATATCTAGGACTGAATGTTTAGACGGCTGTTTATATTTTACAGACTTAGATTTACAACTAATATAAATAAGAAGATGTGGTATGAGTGCCAATGAGACAACTCTCCATCCAAGATGTCATAGAAATAAGAAGATGTGGTATGAATGCCAATGAGACAACTCTCCATCCAAGTCACAATGTATAAAAAGTTAACAATTATGCATACAATATGGTTCATTATAACAATTATATTTTACAGATTTGGTACAAGATAGATTTACAACTAATGCATACAATATGGTTCATTATGACATAATGTGCTACAGACAGCTACAGATACAGGTAGGATAGCGATTAGTGTACCCTCATTCTAAAAGTCAGGGCTATATTGCAATTACCTTGTCAACCAACAAAAATTCTCGTTACATTTTTCTCAGAAACTACTGAACAGAATGACTTCCTATTTGGTGAGCAGCTTGACAGTACTGAGTTGTAAAGTGTGTGCACTTTTTAGCCTTGACTCTGAATCTGTATTCTTTTCTCTTTTTATTTTAAGTTTTTTTAAAAGCTTGATGTTTTTAACCGAATTTACAAAGGAAACATTGGTTATTGGTTTGGGGATGTACTGTGGGCGGGCTGCCATCTGGGCAGGCGGCTGCCAAACAGTGTCAGTGCATTTACTCATGAACAGTTCATCCAAAGCTTTTCAAATTTTAATATTTATTTTATGGCTATGCTTTCTTTTATTATAGGTATTTGCACATGTTTACATAGTTAGGACAGAAAATAACCAAGATACAAAGAAAATCAGGGACCAAATGAACAATAATAATGGTATGTCACTAATTATCTGCAATTAGTCCTTTATAGGGACACATCACCCTGATGATCAAATATACTGTTATAGCTTTGGGTGCTTAACTGCCAGTTTCAAATATTTCATGTGTATTGAGGACAGTTTTCGTCTATTATTGAAATTACTGGTACATACAAGTAGCAACCTCATAACACAATTGGCATTTTATTCCTATTTTAGAAATTACATGTATGAATTGGAAAGATGATAACCTTAATGTTTTTTTCAAAAGTCGGAAAGTTCAAGTGTAGGCAACACCACAAATGCTATGCACAATACCATATATAGAAGGTAGAAATTTGTAACACTGTTACAAAATGTTGATGCTGCAAAAATCTACTACTTTAAAGTAATCGTCACCCTCATGATTTGATTCAGTTCCTGTAAATAAAGGTTTATTATATGAGATGATTGAGTAAAAATTATTTTGTATAATATAAGCCTTAAAGATGATTACTAAATTTCTATGAAAATTACAGATGTGAATATCAGTAGAAGAGCAGACGAGACTGATCATCAGCCTGCTGATGTTGATACAGAAGAATTCATGATGCAACAGGTTATTATATATTACCATAAGACCTTATTTCATAAAGACAAAAAGAGATACAAGACCAATATCATGAAAGAGCAAGTATCCTATTAAATTTTGGTCACCTTTTGTAAGGAACCACACATTAGAGCTTCTTAAAATTTGGTATTAAGCTGCTATACGTTGAGGTACATTTTCAGATTCGTTGCTTATCAACTTTTTTTTACCGAATACTTGTGTATTCTTACACATAATGGCAATGTATGAAATTTCAATCGCATTTTTCTCAGGAAAAAATAATCAAGGCTTTCTGATATTTGGAATCAAGCTTTATGTGAGCATGCCTTACTGTGAGGTGTGTTTTCACATCCGTCACTTATCAACTTCCTGTTTATCAAATACTTATAGCGGGGGTATCATTAATGAGCTATAGGCCACATTCCAACTTGTTAACTTTCAAAGAAATAATTTTCAGGCATTAGCTAAAAGTAGACAAGAAGAGCCTGGTCTTTCTACTTGTACAGGTGGTTCTTTAAGGAAAACTCCAAAGAAAGGTGTTCCTAGTGCAACAACTTCTAGAAAAAGATCACCGAAGACATCAAAACAGAATTCAAAGCATGTAAATACAGGAAGTAGTATTAGAGGAGAGACAGAGAGGGAAGATAGTGAAGATGAAGATTTGAAAAGAGCTCTGGAGCTTAGTAGACAGTGTGCCTATGATCTTGAACTTGATCAGCCTAGAGGTTCTAGATCCGATAAAAATATGAACCCATGTACTACAATACATTCAGGTAATGAACCCAACACTAACACAATCATTTCAACAAATGTAGGAATGTCTGACAGTCAAGATGAAGAACTGCAGAAAATTCTTGAAATGAGTAAAAAGGACTTAAAAGAAAAGCAGACTATTTTATCCAGTGACAGTCAAGATGGAGAACTTCAAAGGGCTTTAGAATTAAGTACACTTGAACAATCATCTATCAGTCATGGAAATAATGTGCCAATATGTAATCAAGGTATCAATAGAACATCTGTGACAAATGATTGTAAAAATGAGGAACTGCAGAATATTTTAAAATTGAGCAGTCTTGAACAGTCATTTGTTAATAATCCTTCAGACCAATATGAGTTTGATACTAGGTATAATGTTGATAAAACAGTCAGGAATGAAACTTTTGAAGGTAAAGTTAATCAACATGTATTAGATGGTGCTGAGGAAATGAGATTGGCTTTGACACAGAGTTTTCCAAGTAGTCAATGCCATAGAATAGGCATAAATGTGGAGGCTTTGTCAGAGGAAGAACAACTACAATTAGCAATTGAACAGAGCAAAATTGAAATATCTGCTTAACACAAATAGTATAGAGAGTAAGAAAACAAAGCAGACAAATTTAGGATCTGATTGTGTATCGGACAACAAGATAAAGGAAGATGTGATTTTAATAGATTCACAAGGTACAGACTATAGTGACAGTTGTGTAGAGATATTGGAAACTGATAGTCAGCTGGAATCGTACTGTGATGATGGGGTGCCAATACATCAGTCACCAAGTCATGAACAATATGAAGATGTGTCACAGGAAATTCAAAGTGAAGGTTGTCAAGTTGAAAGTATTTCTTGTAATGAAGATGAAAATGTTAATCATCAAGGTACAATTCAGACTGAAAACAGTTCGCAGCTTACAGAAACCAATGTCAGCAATGAGGAACCAGGGGAGACAATCTTACAGGAATGTAAAAAGGATAATCTGTATGGCTGTGAATTGAAAGGACTTGACAATGTTCAGGTTAATGACTTGCAGCATGGTAATGTTCTTGTTGAAGATTCTCAGGAAGACTCTGATAATGAGGACTTGTTTCCTTATACAGATGTACCTGAATCTATAGGATTAAATGACATCTGTACGGAAGATGATGATATTGATGTTATACCGCCTTCTCCCGATAATGAATGTCCGATGACATCAAAAAGACTTTCAACAGGAATAACACCAAAACAAAGTTTGAAAATGATAGGCAAAAATATGAATTATGGAAACAGTAAGCAAAAAGATATTCGTCATGATAGTGACCTTGACACTAGTCATGCTAGTGACCTTCAAACTGCTACATTTGAAGAACGTATACAACCAAGTCAGTCTGTGAGCTTGCTTTTAGGCTTTGTTGATGCCATGGAAACAGAACACTCAAATGAGGGTGAGGGTTGTGAATCACAATATAGAATTCAGAGTGGTTGTAAATCAGAAAATGAACCTCCGGATGGGGATTATTTCAGTGAAAATGTGAATGCCTGCGAGCTCAAGGTTAAAAATGATGATGAAATTGTTAATGTTAAAAAAGAGCCAAATAATAATTCTGGCGAAGCATGTGAAACAAAAGTGAAAGTAGAAAAAGAACTTTGTAATCATAATGTAGATTTTGTACATGGTGATAAAAATAAACTACTAAAAAGTTCTCTCAGTGGGAGAATAAAGTCTGAGAAAATATTTAATGATCATCCAAGTGTGGACAGTGGTGAAATTAAATCTGCAGCCATTGTTTCACACATTGATGATGAAGAGTTTGCAAGGAAGATACAAGAACAAATTAACAGAGAACTAGAGCAAGAAGAGGTTTTGAAACATGAATTAAGAAGGTGTCAGACTTCATTGGGTCAGAAAATAGAAAAGAGGGTTAATAAGTGGGACAATCAAAATCCAGACTCAGTTTTTGTGCCAAAACAGATTGAGAATGAAATATTAAATGTTGAAACACAGTCTGACAATGCTCAGTCATTTGAACAAATAGATGAAGAAATGGCAAGGCAACTCCAGGAAAGACTAAACAAGGGAGATTACTCTGCAGATCTGGATGAAATAACAGAGAAAAGAAACTTAAGAAAAAGAAAACACAACGTGATTAGCACTTCTAATAATGAAACACATGAGCCATTAGAAACATTAATCTCACTTCAAGAGGTCATTAGTCAGCATGACGTGGAAGAAAATATCAGGATAAAGTTGAGGAGGGAGCAGGAAGATCTTGAACTTGCTCAAAATATGCAGGAGCAAGATCAGGATCAGATTGGAACTTTTACTGATAAAGAAATTCAAGAAAAGAGAGATCTTGAACTTGCTCAGAAAATACACAAGAATGGCAGGGATAAGTTTTGTTCAGATTTAGTAAACAGTGATGATAATGATGAATGGAGAATTCAACAGGAGAAAGCTGATGAGGAACTGGCTCGTAAACTAGCAGACAATGATAAGAAAGAAATAGCTACTAACTCAGGTCAGTATGAAATATAAATTTTTTTTCTTCACAAAATGATATATAAAGTGTTTGTATGTGTCCATCATGCTTTTTCACTGTGTTTTACTCAACAACTACAACCATAGAAAATTAAAGGTTCTTGATACCAAGTAAGTTTAAAATTTGTGATGCATTTCATACCCATCTCTTTTCCATTTATTTGTTAGGACTAAAAATTTTGTTCAAATTAGACAGGTGCTTGCTTTACTCAAGTTGAACTACTTGAGCCAATTCACTTTTGCATAATTCATTTTGGTAATTGATAAATATAATTGATGGAGGATTTTGTTTTGCACATGGTATTGGTTTAGATGTTTCATTAAATATGCTTTTAAAAGAAACAAGGAAGAAGTTTACAGTGGTTTGCAACAGCTACTGCAGTGCCTCCTACGAAAAATTATTTGAAGCTTTTTTTTCAGTGAGCAGCCAACCACAATTTTCCCAGCATGAGCAAGAAAATTATCCATTGCTTAATACACAGGCTGCTGTGGAACAGATTTGGGATAGAAGGTTAAAGGCCATACAAAGGTCAAAGACAGATCTTCAGACACAGGTTATTAAAAGTATTTAAGTTTGCTCTTCCTCAATGAATGTCATGTATATATATATAATATGGTATGGAATTATACTTGTATAATGACATTATGTGTTTCTGGTTCAGGCCATAATCTTGCCGGCGAAATGACGATTTAAGTCGCCAAAGAATTTTGAAAATCGCTAAATCTCGCCGGCCGACTGACTTCATAGCGAAGTCAAATCGCTATCAAAATCGGTAAAAGGGAGACAACTTGTGATTGACAAGTCTCACAGGTAAAAAAAATGGCGGCTGACAAGGAAACTCGAGATTTTCGAAACGACCCAGGACTAATACTGTCAACGATCAAATTAAATAAATACAACGGCGACTTTGAACATCCTCGGATATAACTTTCAAAACTGTTCAAACGGAAAACTGACCGTCTGTTTAAGTTATCATATTACGATAATTTTCATCTGAGGATGTTGCGTAATCACTCAGCTGATTTGTTTTATTTTTACAATTTACACGAATCGATCAATTTTACTATTCGGTAGGTAAAAGGTTGGAATTAACGGTAGATTTATTATATTGATTGAATAAAAATTGAAATATAAAAGGTAGAAAGACTGCTGATGGATAATGTGATGGCAAACGTACGACACTCGACCAGGTTATGATCAGCAGTGGATTGTTTCTCACGACCATTTCGTTGATATGGATGATATTTTTAAAAAATGATAGTAATTAGCTCTTTGTCGGATAATTAATATGCGATTGAAAAATATTTTCATTTATAGACTTACAATCTTTAACGATAATCTCAATTTACAACTAACATAATGTCCTGGACATTCAATAATGTTTTACAAAATAATGACAAGTGGTGATATAAATTAAATTCCCAGTCATGTGCAATTCAACAGGAAAACTGGGAGTTATATTTTTTCTGGAATTTTAAAAATAAATTGAGGCAGATGCACATGAATTTAATGCATCATAATCATGATAATATTACTAGGCTACTCCCTCATGTCCCAATCAACAAATTTTATTTTATAGAACACAATGGTATCAATAAATAAATAAATAACAACTATATATTGTCTAAACCTTTTTATTAAGAACTTTCTATATATACATTGTGTACAATAACATATGAAAAAACTGCAAGTATATCTTTTATTGAATATAAAACAATTTCCTTAGTGATAAGCACGAAAACACGATGCAACCGAAACGGTAATGGAATCTCACTTCTCCAAGAAATTGACCACTTCTCCCTTCTCTCTCTTGGAAGGAGAAGTCACTCCTCCCTCTTCAAAATCCTAGATTAGGCCCTGCTGGTTTGATCCACCATACATACATTCAAATGCATATTAATACAATTGAATAATTATAAGGATCCAGTAACAAGTAAATACACCTGTTCATTATGATGTGAACATTTAAAATTTTATGCTAAATTATTGTTTTGGACCCAATTTCATAGTTCAATGAACATAAAAATGTAATAGCATGATACTAAAAACTCTCAGGTTAAAGTTTTGGTTTAAGGTAGTTTATCAAGAAATTTTTGTCATATATAGATAAATCAATTAGTACTTACAGAGAGTCTCACAAAGACTGGTTAAGAACTAATTCAGTAGCTGTAGTTTTGGCACTTTGAAACTCACATACATGGCAATAATCAAATCTTTTACAAAATATTAAATCTGGAAACTTATCATGTTTAATTTTTATTTTCAAGTTGCATTTTTAAAAATAATCTGCCATGGTATTTTAAAATCTATCTGTTTTATAGTTACAGGAAGTTAGGCAAAGTCAAAATGTCAGGTACAGAGGTCATACAGGGTCAAGCTATACCATGCCAACAGAACAGTCCATCCCAGAAACGTCATATGTCAAAACGCCTGTCAGAGCAGCTGCAGAAACAGTAGAAAGATTTGAAGGCTCATATAATACACCATCACAAAAAACGCTCTTGGCACAATCATCAAGCAATGCATCCTTCTCTGAAGCAACTAAGTCTTTAGGAATAACTTCAGTCACAGGAACATTTCACAATTCAACGAAAAAAGCTCTCAAAACTGGTAGTTCATCTTTGCAGAAGTCTGTTTTCTCCGTTGATGATGGTAATCTTTTACGTAAAACAAATTGCTATAATATTAGATTGTTAACCATTTGTGCAAAAATTCTATTTTGATAATTGCATTTTAATCTTTGATTAGTTGAACTTGGTTGATTTAAATTCTTGGTTAAGTGGAGTAAATTTAATAGTCCTGTTGATATAGATAAATATAAATTAACCCTGAAGTCTCCAATCGAAGTAAGAAATTAAAAGAAATAAAGACTGTGAAATAATAATTCATATCAGATGTTTTTCTTGTGTAACCTTATCATTTTCATAAGTGATTTAAGTGGTGTAGACACACTTGTTTGCAAAACAGATAGAACATGTTTATGGTGTCAGATCATTAACACCTTTGTTGATCGACGAATTGGAACTTAAGTGTGGTGAACAAATTTCACCTGATTACAAATTTAAATGACCAAAGCCAAGATTAAATGAAATGTTAGAATTAAAATTCGTTTATTATAATAATGAAAAGGATTAAGACAATTATGACAACTTTACAATAATTATGAGTTGGTCTTTTTAATCTGTGAAAATAAAAATTAGTTATGAAAATAATCTTAATGTGTTATTAAAGGGGTTGCATGACCACAAGAGTTCATTCTTATATTTCACAATGTTAAATTAAAAAAACTAGTGAAGGCATGGGGTCATACTACGTTAAATTAGTTCACATTTTTATTTGCAGAGAGATGATACACACAAAAATATGGAGCTTGAATACACAATCATAAATTGTCATATTGAAAAAAGGCACACTGTTTAAAATATCTAGTTTACACAAACTTCATTCTGTATTTCATGCATTCAAAATATATGTTGTCATACTCAATCCTTGTATAAGTTAAATGATTAAGTCTGTTCCACTCAATTTCAACTAATTTTAGAAATTTATGAGTTCCAATCAGGTCATTGAGGCTTTGACTCTTTTTAATTGTCTCCCTCATGATGCGTTGCAGAGGACATAGAAATACCGGGCGTCCATCCTGTCTTGTTAGCGCTCTCATGTTTACAATTCTTTCCAGATTTTTATAAACTTATATCATAGGTTTATATCAGCAATGTTTCAGACAAGTTCGAGTTATGCCCCTTGGAAATTGCATTGTTTCTTTTGCACTTTCCTCCATACTTCTGAACAGAATGATTTCATATTTAGTCATAAACTTGACAGTGATGAGTTGTAATGTGTGAATACTTTTAAGATTTGTCAAACATGTACTTCCTGTTAGTAAATGCTTTGAATTGCAAGTTTAGGTCTGCTTAAGGATGTTCGCTCCTCTTGTTTTTGATTTTTTGCCAGATATTCGGAAGCCTCTGGTTTTATCCATGTAGTGCCATTAAAAAATTTTGCCCACTAACCCTAATTTTTCTTTTCATAATATTATTACATATAGTTTTAAAAAGCCATATTTGAAAATCTTATAAAAGCCTTGTTATTTTTTCATAGTTTTTGAAAGAAAAAAGGTGCCAATGTTAAATGTATGAAAAATCTAGAGAGAATCATTTCCCACCAAATTTTCAATGGCAAATAGCTCGAAAACAAGCACATGAACCATTAATTTTTTTCTGCTTTTTTAGTTCCTTTATTTCTATACTATCAATCAATAACAGTCTTTAAAAAAGCTTGTTATTTTGAACAGAGTAGGGAATATCCTTAAATTTATTTTTGGAGTTGTTCAGGGCAAAACATGAACTTGAGTTTTGACCCCAATTTCACGGTCCACTAAATATAGGAAATGATAGTGAGAGTGGGGCATCTGTTTACTATGGACACATTCTTGTTTTGTTTTTGTCAAGCCTTCGACTTTTGTAGAAAAAGCGAGACATAGCGATCCTACATTCCGTCGGCAGCGGCGTCCACAAATATTCACTCTGTGGTTAAAGTTTTTGAAATTTTAATAACTTTCTTAAACTATCCTGGATTTCTACCAAACTTGGACCGAGGCTTGTTTATGATCATAAGATAGTATCCAGAAGTAAATTTTGTAAAAAAAAAATCCTGTTTTTCCGTATTTTACTTTTAAATGGACTTTGTTTTTCTGCCAGTTAACATTACATTCTCTAAGTGGTTAAAGTTTTTAAAATTTTAATAACTTTCTTAAACTATCCAGGAATTTTACCAAACTTGGGCAGAAGCTTGTTTATGATCAAAAGCTAGTATCTAGAAGGAAATTTTGTAAAAATTTATTCCTGTTTTTCCGTATATTACTTATAAATGGACTTAGTTTTTCTTCCAGTTAACATTACATACAGTCTGCAGTTAAAGTTTTTAAAACATTTATTAGATTCATAAACCATCCTGGATTTTTACCAAACTTGGACAGAAGCTTCTTTCAATCAAAAGATAGTATCATGCAAGAGGAAAATTTTTAATAATTTTTTCCCCATTTTTGTTGACATAGCGATCCTACATTCCGTCATCTGAATTAAGGGATAAATCATCAAACAATATAAAAATTATCTTCTTTATCATTTGTTCATTCAATGAATTTATGTTTCAACTCTTTTATAAATCTATAGATTTGATTGCATACTGTATTCATTTTTACGAGCATAACTTTTTTCATACATTTCAAAAGTTTTATTTCATTAACTGTAAATCTATTATGTGCATTCCCCTATCACACTGAAAACATAGATAACAGCAAAAGTAGGTGAGACACTGGGTTCCGCGGAACCCTTACAAATTTTTTATTATACCCAGCTCATATTGCAATCAACTTTTCTGTCCACTGCTATTAAACAGAATGGCTTTATATTTGGTAAGAAGCTATATGGCTGTTGTCTGCTCTATGGTCGGGTTGTTGTCTTTTTGACATATTCCCCATTTCCATTCTCAATTTTATAATGTGATTACTTGTCTGATCTGTCAGATACCTACTTCCTGTATTCAGATACTTTGAATATAAGCAGAGACATGCTTAGCACAACAAGGTGTGGAATGCTTAGCTCAACAAGGCATGCATTCTTGTTAAGTCTCCAAAGCGAAGTTTGGAGACTTATTGGATTTGATCAGCTATTAGTATTATTATTATTCTTCTTCTTCTTCCGCCACTTTAAAATTTGAACTTGTCCGCAACCAGTCTCCAAAACAGCTGGTCAGATGAACTTAGGGTTCCACAATATATTAGACTAATTTTATAAATCATCTTTGATAAATATTCCTTAGGTTGGGCATTTTTATTGACAAACATCTTTGTTCAAAATTAAACTGCATTGTTTTATTCTACATTTATTTCTATCATTTTTAGATTCTCTGCCAAGCTTGCTCTCAAAAAAATAAATTACTAGATTTTACTTAAAACAAGTATTGTTTTTACTCAAATCAAGTAAAAAAACAAGTAAAAATGTTTGTCAAAAAATGATTAATTACTAGTTATTCCAAGTAATTGTAAGTAATTCGCTAGTAATTAAATGCAAGTAATTTTTCAATGTTTCTGAAGTAATTCTTTTAATAAATACTAAGTATTTTTTTTCATATATAATAAGTAATTCTTTTAATACACATTAAGTATTCCTTTTTTATAGTAAGTAATTCTTTTAATACACATTAAGTATTTCTTTTAATTATGGTAAGTAAATCTTTTATAAATACACATTAAGTATTTCTTTTAATAATAGTAAGTAATTCTTCTAATATATATGGAGTATTTATTTTAATATTCTCAGTAATTCTTTTATCACTTGTAAGCCATTCTTTTACTTATGGCAAGTAATTTCTGGAAAAAATTATTACTTGAATCAGTAAATTTATTTGTAGGTTTTGAGTAATTCTTTTACATATATCGATATATACAGATTAGAATAAAAATTCTACACTGTTTTATTATAAATGCATATAATTTTAAAAAGTAACATAACTTTCAAAGAATGATCATATACTACATTGTATATCCTTTGTATTAATCCATTTCTATTCTTGCTTGTTTGTTGTAAGTTAACATGGGCTACCTCCCCAGCAACTCTTTGTGCTACATTTTCATTTAATTGAAATAGTACACAGAGAGTAGCCAGAAACATTAATACCCACAAATTGTCCTTTATGTAAATTTCTCCTTTCCTTTAATGCTTGTAAATCATGCAAGTATTTCAACAAACTCAGTGTATTTTTTGTTCAAATTCAAATCTGAATGTGTTCCAGACATTTTCAAAAATAGCTTACCAACGTCCAATGAAAGCTTAATTCTGATTGGCTGAAAAATGTTTCAGTCTCAAATCAAAAACTACTTATTAAATACTGGAAATATGATACAATTTTGTACATTTATAATAGATAGTCAATAGGCTTCAATTTTAGTAAGACCAAGTTAACATTATAAAAATTATATCAAAAATGACAAATGATAGCTTGATGATATTTTGATATGAAAATAATTTAAGTAATGGCTAGTGATTTAAAGTTATTATTTTTAGTAATTTAAAGTAAAATGCTAAGTAATACCAAGTAATTCAAAGCAAATTTTTAAGTATTTCAAAGTATTAAAATTGCTAGTTATCCAAACTTATGCAATTTTCAGACTGTGAAACCTACATATGTTGAAATTGTAAAATTATGAAGTCAAATGTCATAGGAAGCATTTATTATTAAAAATTATTAAACCTTATACAAGTAAACGCCATTATGTAGTGCTTAAGCCTACTTAGTAATAAGAAGTTTTATTTCCAAGTTATCAGAAGTAATTCCAGTAACTTTCATACTGCATTTTAGTAAGAAAAAATAAATATGTGTAGTCCTTTAAATATTTTACTAAATTCAAGTAATTTCTTTTTATTTAAAACAGTAAGTTATTACTTAAATAAGGACTAAGCAATTTATTTACTCAAGTTAGTAAAACATTTTATAAGTATTTTTTTTTTATTTAAGTATTTTTTTTAATACACACACATTTTCAATAAAACAATTACTTGTTTCAAGTAACTATGTTCATATCTAGTAAAATATAAGTAATTGTTGTAATTGTGAGTAATTGGTAAGTAATTCCTAGTAATAAGTAATAAAAAAGAATACTTAATTTAAGTAAAATATAATTACTCAGTAATATTTTTTTGTGTGTGTGAGTGATAATGATGCCATTACTTAACATTTATTTCAATCATTTTTAGATTCTCTGCCAAGCTTGAGTGATAATAATGCCATTACTATATCACCACCACACAGTCCTGTAGAGAAGAAGAAGCCTTTTTCCTTCCCATCATCCTCTTCTGCAGCAGGAAATCCACACAGCAGTCAGCCTATAGCAGGAACATCATATATCAACCAAAATACATCATCACCATTTAAACATTCAGCTTTCGATTCTAGTCCGAGTATTTCGTCATCAACTTCTTCTAGTCAGATCAGTGGCAATATGGCAAATGTTACATGCGGAAACTGTCATCAAAAGGGTCACAACAGGAAGTGGCCACAATGTCCAAACTATCACTCGTATGAAGAGACTCAACGCAGACAGGTACGTCGGTAACAGAATTGAACAATTACGAATCAGTCATGACATTTTTATGCCCCAGCTGCTGCAAATTGGTCATTAAGCTTTACCCTTGTCTGTCTGTGAGTCTGTCTATATCTCCCAAAGTTAGAGTCTGTTCTCTAACTTTAGTTTCCATCAAACAAATGTTATGTACTTATACACAATGCTTATTACCATCAAACACAGTTCAATTTCGAATATGGGTGGCATCATTTTCACCATTCTCGAGTTATGTCCCTTTATAAATGAAAAAAACTGGCAAATTTGCTGTTTCTGCAATCTACCTTTACTTTGCCTCAAACAAATGTTATGAAACTTATACGCAATGCTTATTACCACCAAACACATATCAAGTTCTAATTTAGGTGGCATCACTGTTCTAGAGTTATGTCCCTTTATAAATTAAAAATTGCTAAATTTGTTGTTTCCACACTGTAACTTTAGTTTTCCCCAACCAAATGTTATGAAACTGATACACAATGCTTATTACCACTAAACACAGATCAAGCTATAATTTGGGTGGTGTCACTTACATCTTTCTTAAGTTATGTCCCTTTATAAACAATTGCTGAAATTGACATATGTTTACAAGCAGACATGGACACATTCTTCTTTTATTTTCAATCTGATATTAATATCTTTTGCTTGCCTTTCTTAAGATATAAGGGCCAATCAAGGTAACTATAAAGGGAATCAAGGTAACTATAAAGGGAATCACAGTAACTATAAAGGGAATCAAGGTAACTATAAAGGGAATCACAGTAACTATAAAGGGAATCACAGTAACTATAAAGGGAATTAAGGTAACTATAAAGGGAATCACAGTAACTATAAAGGAAATCACAGTAACTATAAAGGGAATCAAGGTAACTATAAAGGAAATCAAGGTAACTATAAAGGGAATCAAGGTAACTATAAAGGGAATCACAGTAACTATAAAGGGAATCAAGGTAACTATAAAGGGAATCAAGGTAACTATAAAGGGAATCACAGTAACTATAAAGGGAAGCAAGGTAACTATAAAGGGAATCAAGGTAACTATAAAGGGAATCACAGTAACTATAAAGGGAATCACAGTAACTATAAAGGGAATCAAGGTAACTATAAAGGGAATCACAGTAACTATAAAGGGAATCAAGGTAACTATAAAGGAAATCAAGGTAACTATAAAGGGAATCAAGGTAACTATAAATAACTATAAAGGAAATCAAGGTAACTATAAAGGGAATCAAGGTAACTATAAATAACTATAAAGGAAATCAAGGTAACTATAAATAACTATAAAGGAAATCAAGGTAACTATAAATAACTATAAAGGGAATCAAGTTAACTATAAAGGGAATCAAGGTAACTATAAAGGGAATCACAGTAACTATAAAGTGAACCAAGGTAACTATAAAGGGAATCACAGTAACTATAAAGTGAATCACGGTAACTTTAAAGGGAATCAAGGTAACTATAAAGGGAATCACAGTAACTATAAAGGGAATCAAGGTAACTATAAAGGGAATCAAGGTAACTATAAAGGGAATCACAGTAACTATAAAGGGAATCACAGTAACTATAAAGGGAATCAAGGTAACTATAAAGGGAATCACAGTAACTATAAAGGGAATCAAGGTAACTTTAAAGGGAATCAAGGTAACTATAAAGGGAATCAAGGTAACTATAAAGGGAATCACAGTAACTATAAAGGGAATTAAGGTAACTATAAAGGAAATCAAGGTAACTATAAAGGGAATCAAGGTAACTTTAAAGGGAATCAAGGTAACTATAAAGGGAATCACAGTAACTATAAAGGGAATCAAGGTAACTTTAAAGGGAATCAAGGTAACTATAAAGGGAATCAAGGTAACTATAAAGGGAATCACAGTAACTATAAAGGGAATTAAGGTAACTATAAAGGAAATCAAGGTAACTATAAATAACTATAAAGGAAATCAAGGTAACTATAAATAACTATAAAGGAAATCAAGTTAACTATAAAGGGAATCAAATTAACTATAAAGGGAATCAAGGTAACTATAAAGTGAATCACAGTAACTATAAAGGGAATCAAGGTAACTATAAAGGGAATCAAATTAACTATAAAGGGAATCAAGGTAACTATAAAGTGAATCACAGTAACTATAAAGGGAATCAAGGTAACTTTAAAGGGAATCAAGGTAACTTTAAAGGGAATCAAGGTAACTATAAAGGGAATCACAGTAACTATAAAGGGAATCAAGGTAACTTTAAAGGGAATCAAGGTAACTATAAAGGGAATCAAGGTAACTATAAAGGGAATCACAGTAACTATAAAGGGAATTAAGGTAACTATAAAGGAAATCAAGGTAACTATAAATAACTATAAAGGAAATCAAGGTAACTATAAATAACTATAAAGGAAATCAAGTTAACTATAAAGGGAATCAAATTAACTATAAAGGGAATCAAGGTAACTATAAAGTGAATCACAGTAACTATAAAGGGAATCAAGGTAACTATAAAGGGAATCAAGTTAACTATAAAGGGAATCAAGGTAACTATAAAGGAAATCAAGGTAACTATAAATAACTATAAAGGGAATCAAGGTAACTATAAAGGGAATCAAGGTAACTATAAAGGGAATCAAGGTAACTATAAAGGGAATCAAGGGCCAGGAACACAACACCAGATAATGGTTACTTCATATTTTGATGTTGGTTCTGTTAACTGACAGAGACTAATTCATTTATATGGCACATAGTCATGATTTTTTTCAGACTGTGAAGTCTTTACACTAAATCTGTTGAATGTGTGCTATAGATCTGTTATACTTAGAAAGTCTTTTTTACAGAAACAAGAAGACGATAAAAAGAAGAGAATTGAAGATGAGCAGCATAGAGAACAACAAACCAGGGATGAATTGGTAAGTATTGGAGTTATATGTAACTATCAAAATGTGGGTCCCTATAATTTTCACAAAGCCTGTCTTATCAGTTTAATGTTTGATAAAAATAGTATATTGCAAATAATTTGTGTTGAAGTTTTAGTGTAATTTGATTACATGGTTTGTCATATACTGAATTTTAAAACCATTTTGGAATTTTGCTTTTTAAAAATAAATTTTTAATGATATTCTAGGAGTACATGACTATCTGTCTGATATTAAAAAAAGTCTTAATGTAGAATCATATATTTTCGTTGGATACTAATTTTCAAGGATTGAGAAAAACTTTAATATTTATGGATATTTGATTTCATGGTTTTGCTAAAAGCTGTACACAAGCCTTAAGGATGTTTCGCTACTCTATTTCAAAATAACAAGCTTTTTAAAAGACTTTTATAAATTGATAGTACGTAAATAAAGAAACTAAAAAAGCAGAAAAAAATAAAGGGTCCATCTGCTTGTTTTTGAGATGTAAGCGATTGAAAATTTGGCAGGAAACGATTCTCTCTAGATTTTTCATACATTTAACATTGGCACCTTTTTCCTATCAAAAACTTTAAAAAAATAAAAAGGATTTTATAAGATTTTCAAATATGGCTTTATAAACTATATCTAATAAAATTATGAAAAGAAAAATTGGGGTTAGCGGGCTAAATTTTTAATGGCACTATATGGATGAAACCAGAGGAATCAGAATATCTGGCAAAAATTCAAAAACATGAGGAGCGAACATCCTTAAGAAAATGTGTACTTCGTTGAACATTTATATTCATGGTTTACCTATACCAAAGATATCCATAAAAATTGGTATCCCACGAATAATAATGAATACACAGCGGTAAAATATGTTAAACATTGTTCCAAAGAGATAGTTATAGCCAGTCTGAACAGACTATTTGGAAATGATTCACATGTACTGATTCTCTACCTGTTGTATGTCAGTTGGATGGTTTACTGGAAAGAGTTTATTGAGTTCTGTTGAGGAATACTTCTGCAATAAAAAGAGAGGAAATGATAAAATTAAAGAATTCAACTGCTTACCTGAACAGTTCGTTTTTTGCCTCATTGTTAGAGCTTCTTATATACCAACTCCTATATATTATAATAATAAGTTCTTTTTAAATCTCATTATGCATATCATTAAGAATATAATGTGTGAGAGGAGGGCGTAGGTGAAGAGTGGTCTAAGTAGGTCACCTCCAGTAATTACTAGCCTGTCAACACTCAGGTTGTGAATTCAAACCCTGCTTGAAGCAGGTGTGATCAACCCTCATCATAATTGAATAGGATTGCTCTTGCTGAATGTCATGGTTCCTTAAGGTTACTATTGCCTCCAGGATCGATCCTCCACCAATAAAAAATAGCTGCCATGTTATAGCCAAAAGTGACAATCAATCAATCACATATTGTGTGAGTAATAGTACTTAGTTCTACCTACTCATGTAGTCTGTTAAAGCTTCAAAATTTTACACTGTGCATATTGACTATTTTGTAGATTCATATATTTTCATGTGTACTAATTTTTCGTGGATTGAGAAAAACTTTCATTTTGTGCTTTTGACAAAGTCTTGCGTTCATTCCTATAGAAAATATTTAATTCATTTGAACATTTAGAATCGTGGTTCCACTGTACTCACAATATCCAAGAACATTGATATCCTACGAATAATAATGAATCCACAGTAATTTCATTTATGTTTCAGGAGAGACATAAGACGACCTTGACATTAATAGCAGCTCAAATTGAACAAGAGAAAGATGGATTAGATCGAACAATTAAGAAAATGACCAAGAAAGGAAAGAAAAGAAAGTAATAGTATTGTTTGGTCAGTCACTGTGCCAAAATGTTTTATAGTTTTAGTATTAAAAACTTTGTTATGTATGAAATGAACATAAATATTAAAATACAGTGGAAAAGACCGCATTGAGATTTGTGTCTGAATTTTATTTTTGTATCGCCTCATTTTATTAAAGATTTTCTTGTGCATTTATTTCCCCAGTTCTCTTATGATGAGAAAGTCATACATTATTTAGTATATCAAGAAAACTCCACCAATTTTTACCAACACAAAAAAAAATTCTCTCACCAGACCTTTGGGTCAAAAAAAAAAAAGGTTTAATAACATGAACTGTACCAATTTTTCTGCACCAGATGCGCATTTCGACAATCAATGTCTCTTCCGTGATGCTCAAGGCCAAAATATTTGAAAATTCAAAGCTTAAAAAGTTGAAGAGCTATAAACCAAAAATGACAAGTTGGCATACTCATTCTGTTTGAAATATTTTACATTTTTGACAGGGTTTGACGAAGTCCAAAACCTGCTAATAACATTATTGTGATAATGGGTGGGTGAGGAAAGTGGATATCTTATTAAATATTTGTGTAATCAACTCCTACATTTTTCAAACCAGATGCTTGAAACTTCTCCAGAAGATTTCACACATTTTGAAATTGTGCACCTGGTATAAGAAATTAATAGAAATATTTTTCTAATTTTTCCAGATTTTCAGAACTTTAAGGTAACAGGTACATAAATGGCTTGTGCAGTGATTTAAAAAAAATATATATATACAATTGGAACTTTAAAAAATACAATGAAAAATTGTAAAATTTATGTGTCTAACTGATCTACTTTTGGAGTTACAGCCATTTGAAAATATGAGGAAACCACTATCAAGTACATAGACATAATGTCAAATGTACCTCAAAAATTTAATGGTTAATTTATTCTGCTGTAAAAAACATTCCTACGATTTTTCTATAAAAAGGAAATGTTGTTATGAAGGAAATTTCCTTTCTATTGGTGTATAATTTTTATGGGGTTACCAAACTCCTTTGTTTTATATCGGCCTTCAATAAAGTATTGCTGACTAAAACAAAGTTGAAATTGCATGATGTTGCCACATGGACTTAACAACGCCAAGCTATTGTTTATTTTTCAAAGCAATGGTAAATGGTAATTTTTGTGCAACTGTTTATCAATTTTAATTTCACATGTTTTCCTGATTGAAGCTTATTATTTACCATGTTTCATATAAATTGGTCAAAAGCAACATATAAGGTATTTTTATGCCCCTACCGTAGCGTACATACGTACGTCCCAAATTTGGTTTCCTTTTCTAACTTTAGTTTGCCTCAACCAAATGTTATGAAACTTATACAAAATGCATATTACCACAAAAGACAGATCAAGATTTAAGTTTGGTGGTGTCACTTTTACCGTTCTAGAGTTATGCCCCTTTACAAATGGAAAAAGTGCTGAATTTTTCATTTCCATTCTCTTACTTTAGTTTGCTTCAACCAAATGTTCTGAAACTTATACACAATGCTTATTACCACAAAACACAGATCAACTTTGAATTTTGGTGGCGTCACTTTAACCGTTCAAGAGTAATTCCCCTATACAAATGGAAAAATTGCTGAATTTTTCGTTTCTGTTCTCTAACTTAAGTTTGCCTCAACCAAATGTTATGAAACTTATACACAATGCTTATTACCACAAAACACAGATCAATTTCAATTTTGGTGGTGTCACTTTTACCGTTCTAGAGTTATGCCCCTTTGCAAATGGAAAAATTGATTAATTTTTCGGTTCCATTCTCTAACTTTAGTTTGCCTCAACCAAATGTTATGAAACTTATACACAATGCTTATTACCACAAAACACAGATGAAGTTTGAATTTTGGTGGCGTCACTTATACCATTCTAGAGTTATGCCCCTTTAAAAATGGAAAAATTCCTGAAATATTTGTTTCTGTTCTCTACTTAAGTTAGCCTCAACCAAATGTTATGAGACTTACACACAATGCTTATTACCACAAAACTCAGATCAAGTACAAATTTGGGTAGGGTCACTATTACTTATCTTGAGTTATATCCATTTATAACGTTATATGCAAGCGGTGGCATCATCTGTGTCCCATGGACACATTCCCCATTTTTTATTACCAGAAGGTTCAATACCACAAAAGGCTATTGCAGATCTTGAGTTATATCCCTTTATAACGTTATATGCTAGCAGTGGCATCATCTGTGTCCCATGGCCACATTCCCAATTTTTTATTACTAGATGGTTCAATACCACAAAAGGAAGGTTGGGATTGATTTTTGGGGTGATGGTACCAACAGTTTAGGAATTAGGGGCAAAAAAGGGGCCAAAAACAAGCATTTTTCTAGTTTCCAGACAATAACTTGTGTTTAAGTATATGGATCTCTCTAAAATTGTACTTCAAGGTTCCATACCATAAAGGGAAGGCTGCGATTGAGTTTGGGGGTAATTACTCCAAAAGTGGTGGTGTGGGTTCAAAAAATTGGTGGGATTTTTTTTTCCAATTTTTTTTGGGGGGGGTCATTTTTTTTTCTTCAAAATTTTTGAAATTTCAAATTTTTGAAATCTTCAATAGCACAGTATTGCGCAATAGCACAGTATTGGCAAAAGCAAGAAATCTTCAATTGCACAATAGCACAGTATTGCGCAATAGCAAGAAATCTTCAATTGCACAGTATTGCGCAATAGCACAGTATTGTGCAATATCACAGTATTGCGCAATAGCAAGAAATCTTCAATTGTACAATATTGGGCAATAGCACAGTATTGCACAATAGCAAGAAATCTTCAATTGTACAGTCTTTTGCAATAGCAAGAAATATTGGGCAATAGCACAGTTTCTGATCTTGTTGACCTATCTTTTTTCTCACCAAATTCGGATTGGTCTTTGCAATCATTAGCTTGAATATCAGCTCGTTCTGTTCGTTCTAGTTTTTAAGTTCCGTTATTTATATACTATCAATTTATAACAGTCTTTTAAAAAGCTTGTTATTTTTAAATATATTTTGCAGTGATTTCTATCAAGACTGGCGAACCGCTGCTCCAAAGTGTGGACAATTTTTTGAATCAAAGAGTTGGATGTATATGGAATAATGACACTTTTGTTTTAGTCTCCTACCGACGAAGTGGAAGGGGACTTTAGGTTTGCACTCCATCAGTCTGTCTGTCTGTCCATCCGTCAGTCCGGCAAATCAGTTTTCCACACTTTTCTTTATACTTCGAAATATTGATTTTATATTTAGTGTATAGTTTTATCATGACAAGTTACAGATCAAGTTCGAATTTTGTTCCGATCTGACGATTTTGTGCAGAGTTATGGTCCTTTAACTTAAAAAATTCACTCAAATAATCAGTTTTCCTCACTTTTTTTGTCATGCTTGAAGATATTGATTTGATAATTGGTATATAGATTTATCATGACACGTTACAGATCATGTTCAATTTTTTTCCCTGTCTAATGATTTTGTGCAGAGTTATGGTCCTTGGACTTAGAAAATTCACTCAAATAATCAATTTTCCATATATTATTTTCCGTCATGCTTGAAGATATTGACTTGATATTTGTTATATAGTTTACACCATGACAAGTTATAAATCAAGTTAGCATTTTGTTCCAGAACAATGAATTTTTAACCGGTAGGCAATACTCACAGAATGCTAGTTGATACTGACTTTATCAGCAAGAATATCAAGCGAGCCTGCTAGGACGAGCCAATAATCAAGCTGATGATGTCAGTATCAAAAAACAAAATGCCATTTTTAGTGTACCTGACCTTTGGTCAAGTGAGATTTTCTCATCACTTGGTGTCCGTCATCTGTTGTCAGTTAACTTTTTACATTTTTAACTTCTCCTAGAGAACCACTGAATGGAATGAAACCAAACATTGCATGAATATTCCTAATGAGGTGCTGACCAAGTGTTGTTATTTTGTAGCGGATCTATCATCCAAGATGGCCACCAGTTGGGGACTTCCTTTAACATAGGACCTATGAACAATACATACAAATGTGTTCTTTTAGAGAACCACTGAATGGAATGAAAACAAACATGGCACGAATGTTCCTTATGAGGTGCTGACCAAGAGCTGTTACTTTGAAGCCGATCCATCATCCAAGATGGCCGCCAGAGAGGGACTTAGTTTAACATAGGACCCTATAGGAAATACATACTAATGTCTTCTTTTAGAGAACAACTAAATAGAATGAAATAAAACTTAGCATGAATGTTACTTATGAGGTGCTGACCAAGTGTTGTAACTTTGTAGGCGATCAATCATCCAAGATGGCCGCCAGCGGGGACCTAGTTTAACATAGGACCCTATGAGAAATACATACAAATGTTTTCTTTTAGAGAACCGCTGAATGGAATTAAACCAAACATGGCATGAATGTTCCTATCGAGGTGCTGACCAAGTGTTGTTTCGTTGTAGCCAATCAATCATCCATGGTGACTGCCAAGGGGGAAATTAGTCTAACAAAGGACCCTTTGTGAAATACATACAAAAGTCTTCTTTTGAAGAACCACTAAATGCAATGAAACCAAACATGGCATGAATGTTCCTTATGAGGTGCTGACCAAGTGTTTTTACTTTGTAGCAAATCCATCAACCAAGATGGCTGCCAACGGGGGACTTAGTTTAACAAAGGACCCTATGGGAAATATATACAAAGGTCTTCTTCTAGAAAACTGCTTAATGGATTGAAACCAAACACGGTCTGAATGTTTCTTTTGAGGTGCTGACCAAGTGTTGTTACTTTGTAGCTGATTTGTAATCCAAGATGGCTGCCAGTACAGGGAGTAAGTTTAACATAGGTCCCTATGGGAAATACATACAAATGTTTTCTTCTAGAGAACCACTGAACAGAATGAAACCAAACATGGCATGAATGTTCCTATTGAGGTGCTGACCAAGTGTTGTAATTTCGTAGCCAAACCATCATCCAAGGTGACCGCCAGCAGGGGACTTAGTTTCACATAAGACCATATGGAAAATACATACAAATGCCTCTTCTAGAGGAGCACTGAATGGAATGAAACCAAACATGGCATAAATGTTCCTGATGAAGGTGCTGATGAAGTGTTGCTACTTTGTT